AAGTATTGGTAATAATCCAAGCAAGTATATTTATAATAACGTTATAGGCAAAATTGATTATTATTGTTAGATAAATAATCAGTGAGCTAAATAATCTTTTCATAATACATAACAACCTAAGAAAAACCTTTTGAGCTAAATAAATAATCATTAGTTGTTAATTAAATAATTAAATAGTAATAAATATTAGTGTTATATGTAAATATTTGCTTTGTTAGTAATTTACGGTTTTCATAAGTGGTAACAATTAAAATGGTAATAACTAATGTAATTATGTTGTAATTAGTGATTTAATAATAATAAATAACATAGTAAGAAAAACACCTAGTAAGTTATATATAGTAATCAATAGTGTCATAATTCATCATTAATCATGTTATTGAATAACTTTTCAAATTTAATTAAATAATGAAAATATTTTTGGACAAGCCTACGCATGGAAAATGTTTGCCTCAATTAATTAATAATCAATTTAATTTGTCTTTTGGTAAACAATATACAATAATGTAATTATGATGTAGTAATTTAAAATAGTGTTTTAATTAATAGTAATCGTATTGTAATTTACAGTGCCATAAAACTTGACCGTAAGAAAAATAAGTAATAAATATTGAAAAATGTAAACATTAATCTTTAGTCGTAATTTTGATTTATTATATTTATAATAACGTTAATTAGTAATGATTAAACTCGTAACAATTGTTTTAAGTATTATGTAGTTACAGATGTAAGATTAGTAATCAAAACCCTAACAATTTGACATATTAAGTTAAATTATTAATTTTTAGTTATGAATTAAATAATTGAATATCATTATAATTTAAAATTTTGTTCAATATCAATGAAGTTATTTCATCCTTTATTCAAACTAACTGAAGAATAATACAATTGGATAGTTATAGCATGTCCCGTAAAGGTAACTGGCGGGAGTGGAGCAAATGAGGTGCTGACTGGCCTGCCATTCCTATCACTGTGGTTGACAGTTTTGGTGCTGTTGGGTTGCTTGACGCGTTGCTCTGTTGTCGTCTAACTTAGCTTAGGTGGTATGGTGTGCCGCCAGTGTTTATGGCGGGACTGAATCCGTCAGTCAACTTGACGCGGTTGACTGCTCTATAATGAACATATTTTTCAATTGTATCATCAACTGGAGATACTTTTGAAAATTGACCGTAGTACTGTCGTTTTGCCCAAAGTGAGAGCGAGTGGCACACAAATAAAAAATATTTGAGAAAGTCAAGATATTTTTTAATTTTCAAGTCAAATATAGGGAAAAAAATTTGGTTTAATGTTCCTTACTTCCTTTCATGTACGGCCAGCAAAATGGGCTGAGCTCGCTGGGCTGGCCCGTCCCGCCCGCCAAACAGGGTGGGCTTGGTTGAGTTTTTCAACCCACCAGCCCGCCAAACCCGCAAGTTCGCCGGGCTCGGCCCGCCACGGGGCGGGCTAACCCGCCAAGCCCGTTTTTTTTAGGTTATCCAATTGTTATGTAGCTCCTGCCTTAGATTTCTCTGCATGCAAGTGGCTTTTTTGAATTGTTGTGGACTGCTTATACAACACTTTGTTACTTGTTTTGTTACTCTGTTTTACCTTGATATGATTTTATTTTTTATTATTAGTTTTGGATTGAAAGATGCATATTTATATGTAGATTATTAAATACCGGTCTTCTTGGTTTCATAAGCACATTAGGATTTTATGCAGATTTTTTTATGCTTTTATGCAGATTATTTTATGTGTTTTTATGCAAAATTTAATTTTTTGTATTTTTTTTGTATTTTTTTTATTTTTTGTATTTTAGGCGGGCTGGCCCGTAGCCCATCAACTCATTCATAAAACGGGCCGGGTTGCTTAATTCAACCCATTTTGTCAAAACGGACCGGGGCGGCCAGTGACGGGCCAGGGCGGGCTTGCCCGTATTGCCAGCCTTACTTTCATGATAAATTTATTTTCTACATATATAAAAATAAATAAAAATTATATTATTTTCTCCTTTTTTTCACATTATTCTATACATATTTATATATGTATGGGATAAATTTATCTCTTTTTTACTAAAAAAAAATTATCTCCTAAATTAGAAATATTAAACCTAAAAAAAATTTGGTGAAAAACAAATCGAATATTATATAACACTTCAACTATGACACAACTGAAACTATATATAAATTACAAATAAATATTCAAATATCTAAGAATTTAAAATGAAAAATGTTCACTTATAAGCAACATACAACAGTAAAAAAGGAAAAAAAAATTAATGTACCGGAGGCACCGAACTATTTTACTAAAAAAATAATTCTTTTTTTAAGTACATAAAAATAATTTTTTTTGAATCTAAAGGAAAACATAAAAACATATACATATAAGTAAAAAAGGAAAGAAAATTTTCCTTTTTATAAAAAATAGCCGGAGCACCAAAGTTTTTTTTCGTAAAACGGGGAAAAATTTATGTATACTAAAAAACTTGTATAAAAGCTATTTCAATGTAGTACAATACAAATTTAAAACTAAATATGATAACGTAAACATAAAACATTAATATAAAATATTCGTTTTTTCTATGAAATTAATGTAGATAAATTATTTATATTTAGTCTAAAATGATATTATTTTGACACAGAAATCAAAGTATTTTTGTAAATATAATTTATTTCAAGGTTATAATAGTCTTTTTTATTATAATTTTTTAACTTAAAACGACGTCAATGAACGTAGATAACTTATCTACATAAACGTTAAACATTAAAGCCTAATATAAAGAAAAAAGTGTGTATTATTTTAAAATTGTGTTATGTTAAATGAGAGAAATAAATAAATAAATCATGAAAGAATAAAGAATTTTTTTTTAAAGATATGGATCGAGTCTCGTGAGAGTGAAAGGAATGTAGGCTTTTTTACTCTTATAATCCTTTATTATTAATTAATTACCGATTTGACCTTGATTATAAACTATTTCAAAAATTTAACCTTCTCAAAAAACATAACACCAATCTGCCCCTGTTTGACCGTTGACCACCAAGCCTACCCGGGTACACCCCTCTGTACTCGGGTATTTTTCGAAAAATTTTGTCTACCCGGGTAGGGAGGCGTGTACCCGGGTATTGTTCTTCGCACCTGAGAAATTGCTTGAATTATTTACCCGGGTAGAGAGGGGTGTACCCGGGTAAATCTTCGACCACCCGGGTATGATTACTCTTTGGATCTCCCATGCACTCTTCTTCTCCAAGCTTTGAATATAGAGGCACCCACTATCACATGCTCCGCCTCTGCAACTTTTTTGGGTCTGTAAAGCACACAAATATTTTTCAATGATTATTTCAGAAAGGGAATTCTCAGTTAACACTATAAAAGTAGACCCCATCATAATCGATACGAATAGGGACCGCTTTGATGAGCAGTAAAGTGTTGATGTATGGAAATTCCAAATCCATTCTCAAAGCTAAAAGCTCTTCAAATTGGTTAGGCATGCTTAACTTGATAATACTGATCTATCTCATTAGCTGTAAAAAAGAGAAAAAAAAAATTTACCATGAAACAATTAATTACACATCCGCAAATATAATTAACTTGTGGTAAAATCAAATAAATCATATCTGTTCTTATATCCATCAGCTACAAGTTGCCCCAGTTATAGCAAGTACTAAATGGGTGGTCGAAGATTTACCCGGGTACACCCCTCCCTACCCGGGTAAATAATTCAAGCAATTTCTCAGGTACGAAGAACAATACCCGGGTACACTCCTCCTTACCCGGGTAGACAAAAATTTTCAAAAAATACCCGGGTACAGAGGGGTGTACCCGGGTAGGCTTGGTGGTCAACGGTAAAACAGGGGCAGATTGGTGTTATGTTTTTTGAGGGGGTTAAATTTTTGAAATAGTTTATAATCAAGGTCAAATCAGTAATTAGTTAATAATAAAGGGTTATAAGGGTCAAAAAGCCAAGGAATGTAAGTTATTTGGGCTTTTTGACCCTTATGACCCTTAATTAATAATTAATTACCAAATTGCCCTTCATTCAAAACTATTTCAAAAATTTACCCTCCCCAACAAACATAACACCAATCTGCCCTTGTTTGACCGTTGACCACGAAGCCTACCCGGGTACACCCCTCCCTACCCTGGTATTTTTTGAAATTTTTTATCTACCCGGGTAGAGTTCTTGAATCTGGAAAAATGGTTGAATTCGTTACCCGGGTAATAAGGGTTGTACCCGGGTAAACATCCAGAGTAGCGTTTTTATATAAATGAAAAAAACTGTGACAGGCATGGTTCATGGACGATAGCAACGAAGATCCAAGGCTTCCTCGCCATGGCAGCCCTAATGAATTTGTTTCCATCAACCAATTAGCAGGTCATTACTCTCTCTATCTATCTATAGTTTTACTTAGTTGTGACGTTGCAGAAAAATGGTAAGTTTTGCAGAATTGGGACTCTTATACTGGAAGCTGAATCCAAATGATGTTGAGGAAGATTAGAGAAACTAGGGGATACAATTACATGGTAATGTTGTATTAATTTTTTACTAATTTCATTTTGTTTTCTGTAATCAGAAGGTGCTTCAATTTTTTGCGTTTTCATTAACCTGATAGAAATATAAATCCGAGGAGAATATGAATTGGAAAAAGAAACTTTTTAGCATCTCGGTTATATAAAAATGCTACTCTGGATGTTTACCCGGGTACAACCCTTCTTACCTGGGTAACTAATTCAACCATTTTTTCAGATTCAAGAACTCTACCCGGGTACACCCCTCTCTACCCGGGTAGATAAAAAATTTCAAAAAATACCAGGGTAGGGAGGGGTGTACCGGGTAGGCTTCATGGTCAACGGTCAAATTGGTGTTATGTTTTCTGAAGGGGTTAAATTTTCGAATTAGTTTCAAACGAAGGTCAAATTGGTAATTAATTATTAATTAAAGGTTATAAGGGTAAAAAAGCCAAGTTATTTGAATTAAAATCACACAAATTTTTTTCTAATATAAAACGGTGTGAGGGGAAAGATATTTTTGTGTTCTTCTAAGGTTGCTGCGAGCCTGCGATCTGAGAGAAGACGACATTGCAAGTTGGAAGCATAAGCATGAATGTAGAAGAAGAGGTTGGGCGCCTCAAGGAAGAAATCAAGAGGCTTGGCAAGCTGCAAACAGATGGTTCGTACAAGGTAATATAAAAGGGAATTTCAATCTTCATTATGTTCCTTCGAATCTATATAGCGAATCTCATGTTGGCATTTGTTCATCTAGGGTAACATGAAGTTGATACTATTGCTAAACTGAATCCATGGTGTTTGCTAATTGGGATGCGTGTCTACTTTCTTGTGCTTGTGGATCTACGTCATGAGTTCATCTAGGGGATCTTAATCCTGTATCAAACTATAAATCTACATCATAAGTTCATGTAGGGTATCTTAATCTAGGGGATCTACATCATGAGTTCATCTAGGGATGTATGATTACTCTTTAGTAGAGACCTTGATATCTCAACTAAATTTTCAAACAAAACACTTTGCTAAAACCACTGTAACAACTGAAAGTTGAAACCTTAATTTAATCAGGGATGCGATGTAGGAACCGGTCAATAAAAGATTGATTTGAAACCTTTTTACATGTGATGGATGACTTGTTTGAAGCATTGAAGAAACAGCCTATCAATATTTAGTGATCCGAAGCTTAAGCTTATCTAGAGAGACCTCCTTCATAAAAATAATTGGCTATGGTGTTGATATGATTTGATGAGCCAGCAAGTAAATACATGACTGCTTGATCATAAAACCTGAGATAGTTTGTTCTGTTTATACGCATTAATTTGCTTATACATTGCTATGGTTGGACAATCTTTTAATGAAGTAGTGGATTGTGTTGTTTGGGTGAACATCTCCACGAAGTCAGAGCAAGTAATTCACCATTTATTTGCTTACTGTCATCTGTATGCAATGTGTAGTTTTCACCTTTAATCTTCACTGGACTTGTTTTGCCTGATCAGTGATCACTTACACATGTAGTAGTTAAAATCTCGATTTATCACTATGTTTTTACGATTTTTTTTTTTTCATCAAAATATTTTTACCAATATTCTAAATACTTCTATGTTTTTTTGATTTTTTTTTTTTATATTATGATTTTACGTTTTACGAATTTTTATCCTTTTTCTGTTTTTACATAAAATCTCGTTTTTAACTTAGTATACACCCTAATGCATGTCATATATCACCTCTTTGTTGAGATGAACAAAATATGCCTTGTATTTTGAAGGTTACATTTGGAACACTATTTAACGATGACCAATGCGCAAATATATTTGAAGCACTTGTTGGGACACTAAGAGCCGCTAAAAGGCGGAAAGTACTGACATACGACGGTGAGCTACTGCTGCAAGGAGTTCATGATAATGTGGAAATCACTCTTAATCCCACCCCTGCTGCTGCTGCTGCCGACGACTGATACACTTGCCAAGAGTCAAGGATTTATATATGTTGCTCGAATCAACTTGTTTTCTAATGATTTGTGTAATATACTTATGTGCTTGAGTGGGAGACGACTTCAGAAGTTCATGCACTCATTGCTATTTAGTTTTGAGGTATGAATGTGTGAAACGCTATGTAACCAAAAAAAAAGAGAGAGCGTGAATCGCTATAAATAACTTGTGGGTGCTAGTTTTGTATGCAGTGATCCTATCATCTGCTTCTATTCATTATGTTTTTCTTTTCTGCAGCGTGAAAATAAGCTTTCTTTCAGAATGTTGTCCTCCAGATTTCTGTATTGCACAAATCCTATGTTGGCGTAAGTACAATAAAATACAAGGAAATTCTAAGCAATTTATATTACTCTTGTTTTTAACCCATGTTGCGATCTAAACCGAGAATCAGAAATTTATGCTTAAACTTCTTACATCTGACAATTATTACGCTTTGACTGCAAGATGAAGTGCCTGATTACCAGATGCGAATAATTAATTGAACTATTTCCTGGGATTTCACAAATGCTCATCATGGACAATAAAATGGAGGATGGTTAGAGGGAGTTAATTCACATCATCCGAGCTAACACTAAATTAGTAGTTGTTGAATCTAGACCTCTTGCTGGTAGGTATAGTAAGGGAACTGGGAACATAACACGAGCAAAAGCCGTTGAATGAAAGGCTTACTGTTAGTGCCTGATTACTGTTTGGTAGAGGAAATATTTTTTTTATCAGGAAAATACAATTACTAAGAAAATAATGAAAAAATGAGTTTAATAGAAAAGTGAAAAAAAAAAATTGTTTAGTAAGGTTAAATATTACTGGAAAAGTTTATTTAAGTTTATAAAATCTATGTTTAGTTGAAGTAAAATATTGATGGAATAATGAGTGTAAATTACGAAAAAGGACATTTTATATTTTTGAATATGAAAAAAAAAATAACCGTTGATTAAAAATAACAAAAATTGTAAATTTCAGTTCTACCAAGAGAGATGAAGATAAACCTGTAACTCTGCTAGCATATGATTCAAAAGTTGCTTGATATTCAAGGACATTACCAGTTTGCATCAGTTTAGATAGAGATGCGGCAGGGTCATCAAACTCCGAAGGTTCAAATCGACGTTGCAAAGCCTGTGCAAAAGAGGACCAAAGCCTGTGCAAAAGAGGACCAATCGGGTATAAGACCAATAAACTTTTCTTCCTTTCCCATCTAAACCAGAAATATCACCCTCCTTCTAGTGTTTTGGAACAGTATTTTACATCAATTTTTGCAAACGATTCATCATGCCTGGGTAAACAATTTCGCTGGTTAAATTTGTGGAACTCTTGTACCAAACATGGTATACCACTTGAAGTTTCCTAGGTATCTAAATAGAAAACCTATACCAAACACTCCCTAAAGAATCAAGCGATTGACCTCAAATCACTACGCTAACGTCCAGTGGACAGCCCAAGAGGAATTAATTAAGCCAAGATGACTGGTTGGGTAAAATACAATGCCTCGATGTTACAAGATTTCAGGTGGGGACAAAAAGGAAAACAGAAAACAATACAGTTTAACAAACTAAAAAAGATCTACGGGAAAATAATGGGGACATGGGTGAGGGGACATTGTCATGATCCACTTAGAATAAATGCTTGGAGAAGGCTCTGCGCTGCTTGGGTTTCATCAGGTGAACCGGATATGACAATAGTCCTGTCACTTGTTCCAGGACGAGGTTCACGGACAATTACCTGGGCACCTGAAACCTGATAAGGACAACAAATTAAGTTTAAAAGACGTGGAAAAATAAGAGGCTTGACATAATCTTTGAAAGCAGTTCCATCCTTCATATTAACAATGCCACAGATCCAAATAAAAATAGAAAAACATGAGACACAGTAATTTGAAATCAAATTGGTGATCACAAGGATTAACGAGATGAGATAGTGAACAACTAAACAAATATAGAATATATGTATATAAACTTATCCAAGTATGTTGTACCTGTCTCAGACGAGCCAGATTGCTACCATTTTCTCCATATACAGAGTCAAAAGTATCATAAGGAACCACAATCTCTACAGTTGTATTTGTCACAATAGCAGATTTACTTCCACTGCAGACCCAATAAAGAATAATATAAGAAATCGACAGTTGTGGCATTCTCCCTTCTATTATATAAGATATGTTCAACTGACTATAATCTGAAAAAGTTAAAAGGTGTATGCCACAGACATCTACATCCGTTAAATCACACCATAAATAGAAGTTATTGTTATTAAATCCTAGAATTTGAGATACCAAGAAATGTAGTTTTTTTGCATCAAATTATAGATTTGCATTTTGCATTGAAACAAGTCTCATTTGTTGTGCATATCAATAACCTGACAAGTTCTAGACCGCCTTTTCGAGATGACAATCCCCAACTACCATCATTAATGCCTCTTGAATTTATCCCAGCCACTTTCTGCAGTCAAATTCAATCATAAAATAATTAATAACTTGGGATGGTAAAACCAACCAGCACATAGGAGAGATATATACCGGTGACGTCCATAACCCTGGTGAAGAAGGAAGATCTAAATTTCTAGAAAGAGCACGATGCTCAATGCTTTGAGCAAAACTATGTCTACTGAGACTATGAGAAACACCGACGGCTTGTTGGGCTCCAAGAGAAACGGCATCCCTCAGTCTGCCATATGGACTGGTATCAGCTAGTACAGAGGAAAGGCTCCTTGTTCCAGCACTGTTCTGTGTGCTGACAAAAAGATGATGTCGCAGTCTACCAGTTGCATTATACAATGCATCTTGCACATTTGAAAACTCTCCTGATATCTGAGGAAAAAAGAGGATATAGTAACTAATAAATACCTAAACATCACCGCAGGGATTATCATGATGACTTAAACAAAACAGTGAACTATATATTTATTAGGAGTATGTGGCCAACATAGAAATACTCCAGGAAACAAAACTGATCTCTTATCAATTCTAAATCAGTGCACTGGGGTCATTTTATTTTTATTTTTTATAAAAGTTGCATTGAAGTGTGGAAAGGCCTGGAGGATGTGGCAAATGGAAATAAAATGGTTGACCAACCTTTTCAATAAGATTCTTCAGACAAATAAGATGCCTGATGCATGGAGGAAAAGTATGATTGTGCCTATTTACAAAAACAAGGGAGATATACAGAATTGTTCTAACTATAGAGGCATTAAGCTAATGAGCCATACTATGAAGTTATGGGAGAGAGTTATTGAACATCACTTGAGAAGAGACACCAAGGTTTCTGTAAATCAATTGGGATTTATGCCAGGAAGATATACAGAATTGTTCTAACTATAGAGGCATTAAGCTAATGAGCCATACTATGAAGTTATGGGAGAGAGTTATTGAACATCACTTGAGAAGAGACACCAAGGTTTCTGTAAATCAATTGGGATTTATGCTAGGAAGATGTACCATGGAAGCCATTTTCTTGATGCGACAATTAATGGAAAGATATCGAGAAAAGAAGGACTTACATATGGTGTTCATAGATTTTAAGAAAGCATATGATAGGGTTCCAAGGAATGTTTTATGGTGGGTTCTTGAGAAGAAAAAAGTATCATCAAAGTATGTAAAGGCAATCAAGGATATGTATGATGGAGCTAATACTTGTGTGGAAGCTTGTAATAGAACATCAAGTTATTTTCCTATCACGGTAGGTATACATCAAGGTTCGGCTCTAAGTCTATATCTCTTTGCCTTAGTTATGGATGAACTAACAAAAAATATTCCAGAGAAAGTGTCATGGTGTATGCTTTTTGCATATGATATTGTGCTTATTAATGAGAACAAAACGGTGTTAATAGAAAACTTGAATTGTGGAGAAGCACGTTGGAATCTACAGGATTCACGTTAAGTCAGAGCAAGACTGAGTATTTGAAGTGTGAGTTTTCTCTGGCAAGAGATGAAGACCAAGATCCCGTGCACCTACTTGGTCAAGAGGTACCCAAGAAAGATGCTTTTAGATACCTGGGATCTATTTTGCAAAAAGGTGGAGAGATTGATGAGGATGTAAATCATAGAATCAGAGCAGGGTGGATGAAATGGCGTAGTGCATCTGGATTTTTGTGTGACCGTAAAATCCCCCTTAAGTTAAAAAGAAAATTCTATTGAACAATAGTAAGGCCTGCAATGCTATATGGAGCTGAATGTTGGCCAGCACATAGGCAACATGAGCATAAAATGGGAGTAGCAGAGATGAACACGTTAAGGTGGATGTGTGGTCATACGAGGATGGATAAGATAAGAAATGAAAATATTCAACGAAAGGTAGGAGTACTACCGGTGGCTAAAAAGATGAGAGAACATAAATTGAGGTGGTTTGGGCACGTAATGAGAAGGCCCCCTGAATGCTCCCGTAAGAACAAAAGTTTGTTACCAAGAGCTCAACATAAAGAAAGGTAGAGGTAGATCGAAACTTACTTGAGGGAAGGTAGTAAAGCAAGACTTAATGGATTGGGATATAGATTGGCGGATGGTGTGCCTTAGAACAAAATGGAGAAAATCCATATGCATGGTGGAGGGTTAGACCCGTTGTTATTCCTATATTCCATATGGTCCCTTTTTAGTCCATTTTTCTCTTCATCTCCCCCCTTTCTTCTTTTCCCCTTCTTTTATCACTTTTATATTTATATTTATATATATATATATATATATATATTATTACTATTTTATTTTTTTATTTTTATTTTTTATCTTTTTTCAACCCTTTCGTATTTTTTATTTGGGTTCATCTACCACCAACCCCAATTAATTTGGAATAAAGGTGTTGTTGATGTTGATGTTGATAAAAGTTGTATTAGAATTAGAAAGAGAACACAGTACAAAAAGATGGAGGATAAGGAATCTTCTGACCAGAAAAAGAAAACCCAAACATATGCACAGGGGTCAGAGTCAGTTACAATAGGAACTCGTTAATGCATCAACCATAGTTTCAGTTTCAGAGTTATTAACACGATCTTGGAGAGCACTGATTTCCGTAGCTCATAACAAATTACAGCCAAGAAACAGCAGTTGCAGTAACTAATATACTATCACCAAAGAAACAATGCAAGTCATCTTTGTAGTGTGACAATCACATATTTCTAGAGAGTACAAACCCATGAAGGAAAAATGAGCAGCTAATTCCTTCAATTTCAAACCCCTAGAGAGCAATTGATGTATGATAGTTACACTACAAGCCTATTAAGGAAGAACAGCTCCAACTTTAAAACCAAACTCATACTCTCCATAAAAAAAAGAGAGAAATATGACTTAAATTTCAGAACAATAATATCCTAAAAAGCAGATGAAAAATCTAACAATAAGACATAACTCAACTTTTCAGAACAGTAAACTTGCAAACACACTACAAGCTTACAAGGAACACTCCAATTGTTTACTACTTTCAAACCAAAACATGCATTTAAAGGGAAAAAATAATGTATAATTTATAAGGCTTTAAAAAGATGGAAACTAATAGAATCCTTAAGAACAGACATTAGAAAAATAAAGACAAGCTATCAGATGCTAATAATTGATCATGTTTCTTTTCAGATTTGATAGACTATCACAGTAACAGCGACTATTGGCCATGCTAAGAACCTCGCTCTTTATGTTAAATGAAATAGACAAGTGTGTCCATATTGTAGCTGTTGTGCAAGGGCCTGTTGCTTTTGATGGAAATAAATCAAAGATACTTTTCCCTTTGAGCTAATGGATTTTAAACAGAAGCATTATAAAGTCCAATCCCCCCAACCACCCTCTCAAAAAAATAAAATAAAATAAATAAACAAAGTATGATCTCCAAACCTGTACCACTTGATCATTTTCTGATGCACATTTTGGAACCTGATCAGTCCCAATTATTCTTATGCTAGCCCCTGTTTCCTTTCGCATTTCTGACACTATTATTCCACCTTTTCCTAACAAACAACCAACTTGGTTTGATGGGACTAAGAGTCGTGCAGCAACAGGTGACCACTTATTTAATCCAGAGTCTATCCCGTTCTCAATACCAGCCTCAACAGACCTGGAGTAAACAAGCACAACAGCCTTCTGTGCTGGGGAATATCTTGACTCAGGATTCTGTAAAAAATGAAGCCACCACCAAAAGAAAAAGTTAATAAGAACAGTAAATAATGATAAACATACAACTATAAGACAAAGAAGTAAAAGGAAAAATATTTCACTTAACAAACCTCTGAAGCAGTAATAGTAATTAATCGATCCTCACACTCAGCTACTGCCGGACCAATACTTATAGTAGCCCCTGTCTCACTCTGAAGAGCTTTAACAATATTGCCACCCTTTCCAATAACACCTCCAACTCTATCATTTGGACAAAGAATTCTAAATGTTACTTCCTGATGAAGTGATTTTGGTTCCAGGGATGAGACTCTATTAACTTCTTCTGACAATGAATGAGCTCCAGTGGAATAGCTGTTAGAGCTACTGGATAAATTGGATAGTGCAGAGCACCTCTGCAGAAGATGATCTACACGCAGATCAGTTAGCGTCTGGTGTGGAACTGCAGTTAATGGCTCATGTTGAACTGCAGTTAAAGTCTCACGAGGAACTGCAGCTACAGCTTCATGCTGAACCACTTCATAAGGTTTGCTTCCCATCATCTTTGTTCTATCAGCAGGAGGACAATCTTGAAGACGGCGAGAGACCGCAACAAGTGCCTTCTTTACTGATGACACATTGCCTTCTATCTACCAAAAATCCAATAGATGTTTTCTCACATAAAAATTGAAAAATTTTGCACAGCATAAATAAATAGTATCATATTGACATCAGAAATCTTCTATTAGCAACTCCAAAGCAGTATTCTACAACATCAGAAAAACCAATCCTAGTGCAATAAACTGACAAACCATTATCAGCTCCAGATGAAATTCTTTAATGGACACTAGAAATCAGACTAAACACTATAAATCACAAAAATGCAGTAGTAATCAAATGCCTCTGTAGTCTTGACCTAAAAGAACCACCATACCTCAATCATTTCGTCGGAAGAGGAGATACAAGCCGGCAAATTGTCAGTGAAAACCCTAATTTTACATCCAGTGTCCTTCCTGATCTTCTTCACCACCTTCCCTCCCTTGCCAATAACAGAACCAACCTGTGCTGCATCTGCAACCAGCCTGCAAGACACCACCCTGTCCCCAAATTCAATGCCTTCCGTCTCCGCCGCCACATAGAGGATCCTATCGAACACCTTCAACAGCGCTTCCTGTGCGTTCGAGACCTCAAAGGCCTCGCCGCCGCCGTCGTTGCCATTCTGCTCGTCCGGGTGGCTTCTTAACACAATCTTTCCACTGAGAGCACCGGCAGCAATGACCAGGATGACCCGGTCCGGCGAATCGGGCGGGGCGTCCTCTACTCGGATCTTGGCGCCGGTGGATTGCTGAAGGCTTTTGATGACGCCGCCGGACTTGCCGATTACACCACCGATTCGAGAGGCATTGCAGAGGAGGCGAAATGCCACGTGGCCGGGGGACATGGTGAGGGGCGGCGGAGGAGGCTTGAACGACCTGGAGCGCTTGGAAGATTCATCTGGAATATACGAGTTCGGGTCGGATAAGGAACGCTTAGCTGGTGGAGAGAGAAAGCTGCTTCCCATAATGCTCTTCTCTTTTTCTCTCTCTAGAAAGCTCGCCTACGCAACAAGAGTTGTAGAAACAGCTAACGCAGAGGAGGGAGTTCCGATGCTAAAATGCGCTGAGGGTTTTGGACTTTGGATTACTACCTGATTGTTCAATTTTATTTTATTTTTAGGAAAATTAATATTTTGCTCCTCATCCCATTTTTTATATCAAAGTTGACAGATATTTATTTGAATTGAAGATTCTTTAATTCAACAAATACTCTTATTTATTTGAGATTTATTGGAAGGTTACATTTTAAAACCCTATCTACTCATGTAAGGCAACATAATACACACTTTGACTATCTCTCCCTCTACATCCCTTGATTCCTTTCCAACCATTTTTCTCAAAAATTAGTCTAAAAACATAAAATTATAGAAATGATAGAAACGGTCCTTAATAGAAACGGGTTAAAACGTCGCGTATAAACGTAAAAATGATAGAAATGCAAGTTTTTACCGTTTTTACTTAAACTCAATTTTTTTTATTTTAAAAACAATTATTTTCCATTTTTTTTAAATTCAATTTTCTCTTTTAATATTTTTGGACTTATATCTCATATAGTTATGTGACTTATATCTTTTAAATATGAAGTTATTTATTAAATTTTGAATAGTGACTTATGTGGAAAAAAAATTACATGTATATATATATATAATGTTGTATCTTGACCTTAAGTAGTAAAACTTTATGTTTTGTCTCGTTTCTACGAATTACGTTTTTACTATTCCCTTCCATTTTTATGTAGAAACTCGATTTTGACTGCATTGATTCGAACCATTGAAAAGGTCCAAATCAAGGATTTATGTGAGAATCTTTTTCCCTCACGCTAGATTGTTCATATTTTTTGGCAAATTTTTTTTTGTGAAAATCCAAATTTTAAACCCTGACCCTAACACAATACACACATATTTGGGAATGCATATATAGTGTTTCCATTGAAAATTAGCCGTTTATAGCCGTTATATGCATTCTGTCACAGCGGTAATCGATTACCAAATGGAGGGTAATCGATTATCATATGCTGGTAATCGATTCTCAACCTGACAGCAAGAACATTGTATTTTGGGCATAACTGGAGTTATACTTGTTGGATTGATGTGATCTTGGTCTCGTTGGAAAGATAAAATAGAGATCTACAACTTTTATGAAGAACACAAGATCCAAATCCGTCATATTGGATACGAAAAATTGTATGGAAGGCAAAAGCAAAATTATACAGCAAATTTTAAGTTCAAATGTGTTCTAGCTTGTTTCCAACCACTTTTTATGAAAGACCTTGACTTGATAAATATGTTTTGAATTTATAAAATATGTCAAGGATCTTTTTCATGGGTTTTTCCAATTTCTTTCAAGTATATAAAAGTTATGATTATGCAATTCGAAAAACACGTTTACTTTGAGAAAAACTTTGAGCTCATGCAATGCAATCTACCATATACACTCAGATATATTCTAAGTCTTAAAGATATATTCTAAATATGATTTTAGACTTAGCTTCATGTCTTGTGTCTTGGAACTTTACTTGAGCTTGATGCTTTGACTTGTTGGATTTGACAATGCTTGACACTTTGTTGGTTCTGATCTTTTTTCACCACGGTTATGATATTATGCTTCTATTAGATGTTGTCTATGGTTTGTAGTCTTTGATCTTTGTGTTGCTCTTCTAATTATTCCTTGTTGCTATTGATCCAATGATTTTGCCACTTTGATATGTCATTACTTATCTTGTGTGGCTACATCATATATTTTCAATATCCACATATGATTGATGTTTTTTGCTCTTGGTTAATACTCTTCTCTTTTTGTTGTTGCCACTATGTAATCATCAAAACATACATTGTATCTACATTTTTGAGCTTATTTAGTGAACCTTGTTTAATTCATTTTAGATATGGAGAATATAATTGAATTTATATGTTCATATTTTTATATATCTATATATTTCCGGGTCAACCGACCAGTGACCCAATGACCCAGTGCCCCGACCGGGTCGGGTTTAACAACACTGAGAGAGAATGTAAAAACACACCAAAACAACATAGTTTCTTTAAAAATGACATAACATTATATCATTTAAAATAACAAATATTTTTTCTATAAGGGGAATGATATTCTTACCACCATAAAGTTTATCACTCTTACAACCAACCTAATCACCATTGATTTACGTCAATCTAACGTTTATAATTTATTGAGAATTAATAATTAATTAATATGAGCAACCCTAATTTCTAAAAAATTATAATTATTAGATTGATGAAAATCAATGGTGATTAGGTTGATTGTAGGAGTGATAAACTATCGTGGTCGTAAGTATATCTTGCCCCTTTAATTATAGGAAAAATGTTTGTTATTTTTTTTTTCGGTATGCAAAAATGTTTGTTATTTTTATTTACACAATATTGTGTCATTTTTAATGAAACTACGTCGTTTTGGTGGATTTTTACATTCTCTCTCCTCCACTTTCTTTTTTCTCTCTCCTAATTTTATAAAAAATAAAAAATAACAAAACACATAAAAATGACCTAGTTTCATTAAAGATTATAACATATTTGTTTGTTTTTAAAATATAAGCAGTTAAGATTCAAGAGAAGCAATTCAGTAAAAAAAAGCTACAATGAGAGGTAACTTTTTCCTTGAGAATAAAAAATGAATTTTATCACATAAGAATTGATTTTATTGCTTTTGACTTTTTAAAATATCTTAAAATATACAAATAAAAAAATAAAATATATTGTTAGAGCATATATATTCGATTAGAGAAATGTTAAATACCTTTGTATTTAAACACGTGATAACATGAAAAATGAAAAGAAAATTAAATACATTATTTATTTTACAAGTAATATTTAAGTTTTTCTTTAATTTTTGTAGAAACAATAAATAATTCATATATATATATATATACACATAATTATTTTTAAATAATCTTTTTCATTTTTTCTTTTATAATACTGTGAAATTGACATAAAATTATTATAAATTAAATAATTCAAATAAAAAATAATTGTTACGAACACATATAAAAATATAATATTTTTATATAAAATACTCATTTTATTGAATTTTTATATATTATATATTATAGTTTTAATATATAATACTACAATAATAACACATAGTAAATATTAAAAATGTATTATAACAATATCCATACAGTAAAATTTAAATTAAAGTAATTATACAGATTAAATTAAAAATCTTACTTTTGTATAAATAAATTAAAATGGTGTTATTACATTTTAACCCAAAAAGAATCAATACCAAAATAAAATAAAGAGAATATTATTCTTATATTATATGAGAGATTTTTTTTTCTCATACATCACAAATTAGAAAAGAGAAAATAAAGGAGAACGAAAAATATAGAGTGAATCTCACCCTTAATTTGTCGGTATTATATAAAAGTAATATTTCCAATAAAATAATCCAGTTTTCCTATAAAAGCATGCAAGAGAGAAAAAAATTTCAAAATTTGAAAAGAGCGCCTCTTATTGCCACCCTCTCATAGATTCATATTTGAACAGAGCTCATCAGTTCGAGAGTTTCATATTTTCAGATCTACATTCTCAAGTCTCCACATCAGCGAACAGGGAACAGGTAATCTATCTGAAACTGAATCTACTATTCACATTTCTTTATGACATCGATTGAAACTGAATCTACTATTCACAGACATCGATTTAAGTATGTAACGTCTGCAGTTATGATTGGGAATTTATGTGCGCTGAGATTATGATTGAGCAAATTCATCTTACAACTTAGAACTATATTTCTAAGAGTACAAATGATGTTCTGTTAATCTGGTTCTCATAGTTGAAAATAAAGAGTATTTCGTGATGCTTACACCTATGTAATGTGATACTCTTTTGATAACCTCAAACCTAATTTGCTCTGAAACTTGTAGAAATTTTGTGCTGTGTATCTAATTATATTATATTATGTGGATAAATGTTTGATATTGGCTGGGGTGATATTGAAATACACTAAGCAGCCAAATTAGGATTTATGATAAGGATAACAATGTTCATGTTCAGAAATTTATCGATAAACAAATGAAATTTTAAACACAATTTTATATTGTGCCAAATAATCTTAAATAACAATTATAGTAAAAAAATAAAATAAAATAAAATAATAATATTATTGCTGAAAATAAAAATAAAATTAAAAACTCAGAAATAATGCACGTGACGCGTACATACATATGTTCTAATCCAATTATAGATGTAATATATGGCCATATATATATAAATAATCACACTGTTACATATAGTATAGCTGATGTAGATAACATATATTCCTATCTATCAATTTATTGTGTTATTCCTCATTTGAGCATTAATGTATCAGGTATCAGGGTCTAAATCTGTAAGGGAATAGAATGGATAGTGTCTACTACAAAGAGTTAGATGATGTCAAAGCAGAAGTGGAGAAGCTCAAGGCAGAATGCAGAGTCAAAACTCAACTTGTTGAGAGTTTGAAGAAAGATCGCAGTGAAGAATTTCTTAAATTTCAAGAAACTAGGCAGTATGCTGAGAAACAGGCACATGAAATTGATCTTAAGTCTGAGGAGATATATGAACTGAAGAAAATTCATGAAGATCTCAAATGTACTTTGCAAGAAAAGGAAATGCACATTGCACATTTGAGTTCTGAGAATAAAAAGATCCAAGCAAATTATGCTGAGGAGTTGCTAAAATGGGAGGAAAGTAACAGACAGCTGGTGTCGGCTTTGGATGAACTGACAGCTAGAAACAATTATCTGGAGCAGAGTGCTTGTGCCAGCAGTAAGGAAATTTCAAGCCTCAGGACACTCTTATCAGATACAGAGAAGAAGTATCTAGAAGCAGAGAAAAAAGTCCAGCAAACTACAACACTGAGGCGGAGAGATGATGTGATATTGCAGTTAGAGGAAGAAAATATCAGTGTGCATGATAAAATTAAATGGAGAAATGAACAGTTTAAACATCTTGAAGAAGCTCATGAAAAGCTTCAAGTCCAGTTCCAATTGAGCAAGGAGGAGTGGGAGAAGGAAAGATCTGAACTGCTTGACAAAATGTCTTCCATGCAGATTAGCTTGGATTCTCAAACAAGAATTGTGGAGGGGCTTCAATCCCATTTAGAGATGTGCAACCATGCATTAGCCCATGAAGAAAGCAAGAGGAAACTCCTCGAGGCTGAAATATCTGAATTTAAGATTTGTTTCAAGGATGTTTACAGCCAATGTGAAGAAAAAAAGTCAGAGATACAACAACTGACCTTTTTGAGGAACGATGAGATAGCACGGCTAAGAAACTCACTAGGAGAGAAAGAGACCCTGTTGAGAGAGTTGGGACATAAAATTGTTCACCTTGAACAAGATAATCAGGAATTGGGAGATTCACTTAGGGAACTTAGGGAAGCTCAAATCCAAAATGCTGGAGCAAATTCTTTGGTATCAAAGCTCCGCAATAAGCTTAGACGGTTGGAAGAGGTACATAAAAGCTGTTCCTTAATTCTCAAGTCTAAGGAATCTCAATGGAATAATCAAGTGGCAGAGATGGAAGCAGATATTATTATTTATAAGTCTACACTGACCGCTAAAGAACAAGAAATAAGGGAAATTCAGATGGAACTGGAAAAATGTTATTGTGCCATTGAAGAGAATCATATGGGACTCTTGATCTTTAAATCAGAACTTGCAGAGGCCAATTCCAAATCATGGGGTGCAGAAACTGATAAAGCAAATTGTGTCAAAGAGAATGAAGATATGATTTTAATTTCTAAAGAACAACTGAGAGTGAAAGATTATTCTCCAAAATCCATGGCACGACAAGTGGAGGAAGAGCTTGAACAACAAAAGAGAATGATTGGGGAGTCATCTAAAGATCAACTCATCTTGAAAGGAAAGCTCTTGCAGATGGAAAACACCATACAATTTGAAAGAAGTGGTGCATTTGAGGCTCTAGAAATGCTGAAACTTGAAATAGCCAATAAAAATGATGAACTATCTCGATTAGCTTGTGAAGTACAGAATTGGAAGTCTACTGCTGAAACCCTTAAAGTTTCCTATGAAGAAATTCAGGGAACATGTAAAAAGATGGAAATTTCCCTTTCTTCACAAATTGAGAATGAGCAAGCCCTTAAGCAGGAGAAGGAAAACCTTCTCAGCTTTGTCAAGGATCAGGAACGGCAGATAGCTTTATTGGAAATGTGCAATGCAGAGAAAAGAAAGGAAGCAGAAAGATATAAGCAAGAGAAAGAGGATCTTGTTCAAATTGCAGGGGAGAAAGATTGTTGCATAAAAGATCTTCAAAAAGATATAGCTATGGCCTGCTTGATGCAAGAGTCCATGAAAAACAAATTAGAAGATGCAATTCTTACACAACTAGATGCAGAAAAAGCCCTCGAACAGGAGAGGAAGATTCTTTTGAAGATTAAAGATGAGAAAGATCGAACTATAAAGCACTTTGAGGAGCTGGCTACAGCAATGGAGCAAGATTTATTAGGTGCACTGTGTTTCTCTTTCTCAAAACAAATGGAAAAATGGGTTGAGGTTAGTGCGCTTAATGAGGCCTTGAAGAATGCAGAATACCTGACAAAGCTAGAAATTGAAGAGAAGAACTCGAGAACAGTGAAATTGGAATTGGAAATTAAGAGTTTGATCGAGAATATTGCACAAACCGAAGAATCATTCTTCCATTTAAAACAAGAAGCAAAGCAGCTTCAAGGATCATTAGAAGTCGTGAAGTTGGAAAATGAAAAATTGAGAGATAAACAGCAGACCATGGAATCCATAATTACAGAGCTCAAGTTTGATAAAGGAAATTTGCTCCAAGACGTAATGAAGTTATCAACGGAAAGGGAAGATATATTGGCACATTTTGAAGACATCTGTGACAAAATTGGAGTGTTGTCCAGCGAAGAGATGCAATTGACTGAGAGGCTGTCGAATATGTTGAATACTTCTGTAGATGAAAACGAGACAGCAATGGATTCAGTAATATGTGACAAGCTACATGATTCTGCTAGAGATAGTGCAAATGGTTTTCTTTTTCCTTCCTTAACTACAAAATTCGAAGAAAATTTTAATGAACGACCGCCCCTGAGAGAGGTCAACAGTTTGCATATGTAGACCAGAGAAGAAATTTGTGTTCTTGCTGAAGAAAATGCCACAAGGTATACAAATTCAGAAATAAGTACCTCTTCACATTGGCATGTTTAGTTTTTTGCTGACTTAAATGCATATGTAGAAAAGTTGTTTCTCAAAATTATCTCTCGAGGAAGTAGTCAAGAAGCTATGGTATATAAAGCTTATAAGCTTATCCTGAACTTCATATCATATTGTTTTCTTTTAGCAAAACCCTTTTTGCTGTCATCTTGTCCAGAATAGAAGAGCCAGTTTTTATCCTGTTATGTATGAGGACAAGTAACTGTAGGCTACTTCTATGCTGAAGATGGATCCTAGGCCATGAATATAACACTCAAAGCAGGATTAACTGAATTTGTCATGTGAATTCTTCATGCACCCATAAAATTCCTATAAAGTGATTTGTGTGAAAAGTTGTTACTATTTTGTTAAAGAGAAAACTAGTTCATAGACGACTGGTAATGGTTGTCATTTTAGCTAATTTCATTGAGTGTTATACTGTTGTTTCCCTTGATAAGTCATCAAATTCTCTGGAACACGCAGGTGTTGGTCGTTTCACAAGCAAACTGAAGTTGTCCAGGGGACTTTAAATATCTTATATCTGCACTAGCAAATGGATTCACGAGTGGAAGATAAAACAGTGATATCACTCCTGCATTCTGTTGTTTCAGTAATAGCCGCACTACACATAGTTGAGTGGTCAAGACTTTTGAACAATGTATGGAAAAACTCTTGATTCTTGAGCCATGCGGTCAAGTCCATTCAATGATTGAATTATTTAAGAAGTTGCATTAACTACTTTTTTGTTGTTGCTCAACATAAATTCAATAGCACCAAACTAAAGTTGTATATTTTGGTCATTACAAAGTTTTAAAAAAAAAATCGAAAATGACAAAGAAAAGAAAAGAAAGGAACAAATTAGATTAGAGAAAGCAGAATTCTGCTGCATTAAGGAATATCAGCTATCTTTTCAACAAACTTTACCATCCAAATTTTCAGGTAAAGTGGATTGATATATCCCTAAGATATATGTAACATTAATGCTAAATATAACAGCATATTATACACTCCAAGACTCAGAAAACATGGAACAAGATGGAGGCTATGCCTTCATGTATTCATTGAGTATTTTGAGACTATCAATTTCATGATGCAGCAGGGTTGGAAGTATCTGCCTTGTGAGAGTACTTATTGATCCATTTCTGCTTGTTCTTCTGTGATGCATTCCAGTTTTGAGAAAACTGTGTAAGGCCTTGTGTTAATGCTCCTAGATTTACCCCATGCTCAACCAAAACGCATGTTACTCCCATTTTAGAGACCTATGACAAGATGATCGAATTATATATACCAAAGTTTAACTATTTAATAGTTGACAAAGAAACGAAAAAATAAAAATAAAAATAAAAAAAGAGAGAGAGAGCATAGAGTTGTATTAGTGTATATTAGTATTACCGCTTGGATATTCCTATTCTCATCATCAAAAAAGAGCATAGAGTTGAAGGGAACCGAAGTCCTTGAATGAATTCTCTGAAAATGATCAGTTTTGTGTGTCCAGCTAGAAAATATTTCTTGGGCTACGAACATTGAGTTGATGTTCAATTTGTTGAGAAATGAAGTTGCGATATCAGGAGTTGGTGATCGAGAAGCAATGGCAACATCAATCCCTTTGTCTTTGAGCGCTAACAATATGCCTTTAGCATGGGGATACAGAGAAGGCATTTCGCGCTTCGATCGACACTCGCTGAAATTTCAATAACAATTAACATAGAAATTCAGTTTCATAGTAGAAATAAATTAGGTTAAAGAAAAAGGGTATGAAGGAACTTCAACCAACCAGTAGAAAGGCCAGAGAGTGTAATCAAGATCGAAAACAACAAGCTTTGGCATAACTTCAAACCTTCCCAATATCTGCAATGCTTCCGCCTTCACCTTCTCCGTTGTCTCCTCCATCTCTCTCTCTCTCGCTCCCCCTTGAAACTTCAATATTTCTCTTTTAACAATGGGTTTTAATTTTTTTTTTCAGTCCCTTAATTACACTCTCTGTTTCTTCGATATTTCTCTCTGTCCCTTTATTACACTCTCTCACTTCGATTTCAATTTCAGTGTTTTATTTTTTTTCTCTTTTTTTTTTTTTTAAATAAAATAGATCCCACCATTTGTAGAGAAAATGTATCTTATGTGAATGTGTATTGAATGTGTTACTGTTCTGAGAAGTTGTGCAGGTGTGTGTAATAAGTTGTGTTAGTGTGAGTTGCCTGTAACCTTAAAAATAAAAATAAAAAATTCAATGTCTATTATACAAGGCAAAATCTATCAACTTTTTTAGTCTGAACCAACTCCAAATGTTAGCCATTGGTATGTTTATCTTTTAAGGTTGCCTCCCTCAATCATAATTTTGGTGTTATTTATATTTTATTGCTATAATATTAATGAAAAAGTGTATAACATTTTAAATGATATAAATTATATCATTTCATAAATACAAAGAGTTAGAACTCACATCTTTATTTTTATTTTTCAGTAAAATTCACATTTCATTATGTCTATGAAATCACATAAATTTTTTCCTAATAATTAATGGAAAAACATTTTATCCTTTTAAAGGAGAAATATTTTTCCTACCAAAGACTCATAGCATAAGTGAGTGTCAGTTTGAATTTTCTTCTCTCTCCACTATTTTGCAGGCCTCACTTATACTATGTATTTTTAGTAGGAGAAAAATTTTCTCCTTTAAAAGAAAAAAATATTTTCCCATAATTAATATGGGGGTAGTGTACGTGTAATTGTGATATTTGAATAGTATATATCACGATTGCTTTATCAATGGGTCAGTGCACAGCGCACAAGGTAGACTCGTGCATGTGTATGTGAGGGAGAAACTGATATAGTGATATATTCAGGATTCTTGCATTCACTTCTACAACTTGCTGGTGGTTCTATGAGTTTAAATAGTATTGCTTTATTTATTAATATAAGACGACGGGTGTCGGATGCTATTGATCATCCATTGAAGTGCTGGTAAGTTATCTGCATGGGTAGTGGTCTGCTTGGAAACTTGAAAGAAGTCAGGAAGGTGTTACATCATAACTATCACACCATACAATTTTATATAGACTAAAAGGAATACAAGTGATTGTCCAGCTAATTTTACACATTGCATAAATTTTAGCTCAAAGTTATAAATAAAATTCAACTATTAACCTCTCATGACTCATGTATCAATTTCAATGAATAAATAAACACTAAATAATTTATGCTTAAAAATAAATATTGTGAAGAAACAACTAGATTTATTCATTACGGTACTAAACAAGAATTCTAAACCATATTGTCCAATACGCTTATACATTCTGGTGGAAAGTGAAAAAAAAAAAAAACTTTGTGCTACCTTTTTAAAATTATAATTTAATAATAAAATTCCATAACTATAATAAATATGTAGCATCACTTAGTTTGTAAATTTTATTAACATTTACTCTATTTTTTTAAAAAAAATATTATACTCTATATTAGAGAATACTGCGAAGTGAACGCCTTTCAGGAAAAAAAAAAGAAGCTTCAAAAGCATTTTTTCTCTTTTGGTAACAACCAAAAGCAGTTTTTAGAAGGGAGCAAATAAATTCACTTTCAAGGGGCATGTGTCGATACGACCATTACGCTTTAATCTCACTCATTTATCTTCTACCTGTGTCTTTGGTTCGAGTTAATATTAACATTTTTTTAGGTAATCTCAAATATTAACATTTAATTTGCTTATAACCATCCTGCTGCGACTAAAACACTATTCACAAGACGTTAGACATGCTTCTTTTAACATGCCCCTAGTTAATCGTCGACTTGGACCACCTGCATTCACAAGCTTCGGCCTTTTGGCATCTCCTTCACCCGGTTCAGATGCTAGTGGCTCTTTCTTCCTAATTAAAGTATCATCTTCAAGAATCATGTTCTGAGCCAAATCGAAAATATGATCGGTTACTGAATTCATATTTTCCTGTAATGAGGAACGAGATTTCACACTCACATCAACCTCATGCCCATCATTTCCCTCTTGAGAATCCTGAACAACAGAGTCAGCAAGCTCCTCACCAGAGGTTGATAAATGCTCAATATCTGTCTTGTCTGGAATGTTAGACTCTAGAATTTTCTCGAGAGGCTGGTCTTCATGAGTACCTGTATTGAATGTGTTCCAGGGTACACTAGTAGATGTTCTTGAATATGAATGACCCTCAACAGCTTCGACAAAATTTACAGATAATCCCTGCTGTGATGTTTCTGATGCTCTATGATCTTTGCTGATATAAGATTTGGATGGGAAATTAGATGCCAATATGCCAGCTTGAGAACTTACTCTCTTCAACGATAAAGCAGTTTCCTCACAAGACCCTTCAGTTTCCTGCATTAGAAAAGAGATGTGAAATTCTTTGGATGGTCTCGAGACATTTTTTGTACAAAAGGCACATCACTACAATTTGCTTTATGAGTTTCCCCGTTAATTTAACCACTCTAAGCGGATCAATGATTATTCATTTTCCCCCCTACTTCTTTTCTTTTAATTCCGCTAATTTATTGCGGAAAAGAGGGGAAACCATGGTACATGAAAGGAATGAAGACTTCACATTCTAGCCTGTGAAATATTACAAGCTTTAGTCTAATTAATGAGTTGTTCTACACATCATTTTTTATTTTATTTTTGTGATTTTGTAATACATGATTTTTTGAGTTTTTAACCAATTAACCCACCTGCGCTTTAAGGGCTGAAGCTGAGATGACCATGCATCAAACCTTTCAAGGTCAGCCTGTTTTGATAATCACTGTTAATTCGTTCCCTTTTTTTTTTTTTATATATAAACAACACAGAACACTAATTCCATCTGCTGTAGAATGATTTCATAAAAACTCAGACACCAAAAAATAAAAATGAGTTAAACATTCTAATAAACGTGTGTGTGTATACAATTCCAAATAGAAAGGAACTTCGCAGTACAAAATGCAATTTTTTTTTTCTGAGAGAATGTTTTCTATCAATTGGAAACACAAAAGACTTAATTTAGAAGGCAGTTTGATTTCCTTCAGATATTCCCTTCCCTATTTGTCCTATTAAAATGTGTGTAGAGCCAACAGTACAAGACCAACATAAAGGATCAAAATTGTGAACCCCATGTTCGCCCTCGAGGAAGGCCAAGCATTTGAGTAGAAAACCCAAATAACTAAGATATAACTGCAGTTAAATCCCTATCCAGCAGAGTAAGAACAAATTGTGGATAAATAACTACAAAATAATAGCAGAAATCAATTCAATTCAATGATTGAAATTCATTTACCTCCGTTGGTGACATAAAGCCCCTCTGATGACAAGCTGACTTCTGTCGACAATCAGAACGCGAATTTAAAATGGCCCCTCCCAAGTCCTTGGAAACAAGTCCAGGTTGTCTCATACATGATGCAACTCTTACAGGTGAAGCTGTTGGGAACTGAATATCAGTCTCCAGTTCAGTAGTAGAATTTGAAGGATTTTTCCCATACCACAAAGCTGGATAACAGCAACCACCTAAGGAATCTGTTTCCACTTTGTGTTTGATAATGCCAGGTACTTCAGAAGGAGGACCTTTGTCAAGGCAATCAGCAGGAGGTGCTTGTAAGGAATTATTTTCAAATATGTCATGAATTAAGTTATGTATATCAGATCGTTTCAGAGAAGCCTCTGGCGGAGGGAACCAGTTACTGTTTAACTGCAAGGGGAAAGAAGAAATTTAACTGTGACTAAACTGTATAAAATAAACAAATGAAAGTAAAAACCATTATCAAGACGCTGTCCTCATAAATGCAGGTTCCAGTAAAAGCATGCATGTAACAATGCCAGTAAATAAAAAACTATTCATGTATCTAACCCAATTAGTAAAATTATGTATACGCCTTACAATCTTCATGAGGGGGAGAGAGAAAGGGGGGGGGGGGGGTATAGAAGGGGTTCATATATGAGAAAGACTGAAGACAAAAGAAGGATTTTATTGACGAGATCCCCCCTAGCCCTGGATCAATGGAGAACCCATGTTACGAAGAGAAAGAATAGTTACTGTTACAGAACTGTTCCCTTAAGGTGTTCGACCAACTTATCGCTCCTACTCACTTTCAGATACAACCAAATACCCCTCTTCTCTCTCCTGCCTTTTCTTTATATCCTACATCTGACAATTCTGTTAGGAAATATCCCAAATATTAATTAACCTAATTACTGTATCTACAATGTCGATGAGACCTAACTATTCTTAACTAACAGGGGCAGGCCCAATTGGATCAGTTAGGTTCATCCTCATTTCTTCTCACATTCACTTTCATAATTGGGGGCCTGCTATCAACAAGGGAAGGAAGGGAAGAATGACAGTAAAAATATGAACATAACTCCGTGCATTTCATGCACTAAATTCTGCATCAAGGAACCATTTCATATGTCATAGTTGTTCAAAATACAAGTAAAATAATTTATCAACAGGTTTCTCCAGCAAAATATTCTTACAGTAGGGTTATGACCACAAGTCATCTCCAGACACTCATTGCTTATGTTAAACTAAATGCATGGAATGACTTGACTTCATTATTTAGCTCATATATTCCTCAGTTGCAGTGATCTTCCTAGTTCCAGGAAAAAGTAGAGGGCCAAAGCAGCAAGCATATTTTCAAGAAAGTCCTAAAATCTTCTAATCTTTTGTAACTGTTAGAAAGAATATCTTTAAGATATCTTTATTATTTGTAAACTATGAAGCAGCGATACTCCGATTTTTTTTTTTCCAACATATCGGAAACGTATTGTATCGTATCGACGAATTAATAGTCGTATCAAGAACGTATTGGGAACGTATCGAAAACGCCGTGTCGGAGTCGGTGCTTCATAGTTTGTAAAGATCTATTTCCTTATTTCATTAAGATTTAGGTTATATTATACTCTTTTGAATCAATTCAATATACAGATTTATTTCAATGTTCCTCTCGTCTCTTGTTATTTTACATGGTATCATAGCCTCGGTATACCAGGTTCGATCCTCGCCGTCCCCCATTTTCTTTGTGAAATTTCTTAGCATAGGTAGACTGGGCCTGATACATCATTCACCTTTCAAGTCCAATGGACTTTCTTGTGAAGGGTGTGTTAAAGATATATTAAAAATCATTAATGTAACCTCACTCAACAGTATATAATCTTGAGGGGGAGTATTCGAGATATAGATAATATTTTATTTTATTTTAGTATATAATCTGTTGTTAGTTTATTTTAGTTGTTACAACCCTCAATCATTTATTTTGATGTTATGTTTCTTAGTCTTTCTTGTTCAAGCTTGTTGCTTATGATCTATATGCTCCAGCTTCAGGGGGAGTGTTGAAAAGAATATCTTTAGGATATCTTTATTATTTGTAAAGATCTATTTCCTTATTTCATTAGGATTTAGGTTATATTGTACTCTCTTGAACCAATTCAATATACAGATTTATTTCAATGTTCCTCTCGTCTTTTGGTATTTTACAGTAACATTTGATTGAATCAGCCAGAGAATCAGATGTTGGATTGAGAGTTTTCACTAGGCCAAAAGCTATAATTGTTAGTCAGAGCGCAACTCTTTCTACTTATCCCTACCAGCCTAAGCGTCATGGTTTGATCTGAATCTGACACTACGGCCTTGTCAAGGTAGGATGTTGGCCTCTCCAACATCAGATTACATAACCATGAATGCAAGATGCAACTAACAACAATGCTAGTTGAAATATGAAATTTAAAATGAAGTAGAGTCTTCTATCACTGAAATTGCAAAATGAGGCTATTTATCACAGTCAAGTTTTAATGCAATGGGAAGTCACAGCAGCCACTCACAAAGTTGGAGAACTTTGTTATCTTGAAAGGGTTAAAGTTGATGGGAGCTTCCTCCAAGAATCGTTCCACATAGTGGAGCAAAAAGAGACCACAATCATAAAAGTTTTCCTGCTGAGGCAGCTGAAATAAAAAATGAAAGGAAAAAGTCAATAAAAAGTTGCACTGAATTCCTTATAATACATGGAGAAAGACTACCTCTAGTGAGATGAATCGCAAATGTAAAAATTTAGAAGAATCATCATCGACAACAGTTTGGTGCCTCTCTCTCCATTCTTCACATAGATAACTGCCATTGCACAAGATATAGAAGAAACCACTGTCAGACCCTGTGCAATAACATAAAGTAGCTGAAACAAGTTTTTATTTGATTAAATAGAGTTTCATTTTTACTAAATCTTGATAATACAATTTTCTGTAGTGGCTAGTAAAACTCCTGCAAGGAAATAACCCAAAGAGCCAAGAAAGCCTTATCTAAGCCCATGGTTCTTCCTCAGACAAAACATCAGTATAGGTTTCAAGCTGTTTGGCCACCTATAATGAAACTATGATGGTTAATAGCTCAATGACTTGCACGGAAAAAAATAAAATTCCTAGGAATGGCTTCCCAGGATTGGTATTACTGATAATGATGATTACCACACTTGGTTGACCAAACCTTACCAGATTGCCAGCAGCAACTGCGGGCGGCCAGATTCAGATGCTTAGTGATTGGTGATTGTGGCCAAATTCTGGTGATTGAAGATGGTGGCTGAAGTTGCCGATCATTGTCAATCACCAGCAGCAACGGAGGGTGGTTGGATTTTGGCAACTGGTGGGGATGGACAGTGGTGGTGGTCACCACCAGCAACGAAATAGTGATGGGTGTTTGATAACATGACAACAGAAGGGTAGATATATTAGAAATTTGACATTGCCAAAATGTTCCCATGTCATGGGAATGGAACATGCACAACTCCCCCCACGAGAATGAAAGGATGGGAATGTTGGGCAGAAATCATTCCCAAGAACCAAGAATGAAGTTTGGATGGCAATGTTTTTTGACATGTCAACATTCAACTAAACCAAGAATGAACCCGATTCAAATGCCCAGGCTGGAAAGAATAAAAAAAAACTCCTCAAGACTGGTGTAATGTACATTTGTGTTGCTAGAGGTATTCCACAAAATTTTATCATCAGTTAATGTAATGTATTTATAGAAGGGCCGGCTTGGTTCAGCGGTAAGCTTGCTTGCCGTGGTGTGTCAGGTCGCGGGTTCGAATCAGCCTCTCTGCAAAAAGCAGGGGAAAGACTGCCTAGAGTATTCCCTTCCCCAGACACTCACGAAGTGGGTATTTGAACTGGGTCGGCCCTTTAATGTAATGTATTTATACAACCCATGTATATATCCTGTCTTATTTTGGCATCTTAATGCATTCAGGTTTTCACCCCCAACCGCAAGAAGAAATAGTTTCCACCAATTGATACTGGAGTATACGGCAGACAATCTATTCTACATCAGTTTGGTTTCCTGCAGAAACCAGCACCCATTGCACAGCAGTTTTAAGGGTCAATTCCATGATTATTTTGACCTTCAACTCGAACTACAAAAAACTTGTTTAAACAACTTCATAAAGAAGGCCAAATTTTGGGTCATCAAAGTGAAACTTCAGTTTTTGTATTGAATGAAATTCTGAGCAGAAGAGGGCAATAAATCTTTATTATTAGACCTCCAAATCATAAACTAGAAAAATGGAAGGTCAATATACATCGATCTCAGCTATCAGCAAGTTACCTTTGGAAAAGGTTCTTGAGACCTTTATGACTTCCTTTTAGGGAATCCATGTGCAAGATGCAAGGTACTTTAGAAGATTCCTTAATTTCTTCGTCTACAAAACAATCAAATAAAATGGAGAATGTCCAAATAAACCAGAGAACAGCAACTCAAAGGAAAGATATCTTGCCTCTGAAGCAGGTAACTTCACCAGGATGACAAATGACAATCAAACTCCAGTGAAGACTGTCATCAAGATAAATTAATAATTCATCTTGAGATGAAGCAAAATCCATATGAGCAAGCAAGATAATTTCTTAGGTTCTTACCTGTAGTTTATGGGAATCAAGATATAATCCTTTTTAAAAAGGTTCACTTTCCTTGTCCATTTGCGTACACGTTGAAATGCTGCTCTACCATCATAAGCACTTGATGGATCTTTGTCTAAATCAGCAAGCTTCCGAAAGAAGAAGCTATTGAAAAAGTGAAACCTGTCCTGTTCATCAGTTGGGAGTTTATTTTTCAAATACCTATAGATACACCAGATTTAGAAAACGTTAGTTCATGTGCAGCCTCAAAGAAAGAGTCATATCTAAAACTTTTAAGGAATTATTCTATATATATATATATGGGGTCTATTAATCTCATGTCATGCAACAGAGATAAGATTGTGGGGTCCACTACTTTTTCAAAAAAATAAAAAATAAAAAAAATAGTGGACCCCACTATTTTGTCTCTATTGCATGAGATGATTATCTCATGCAACATGAGATAATTATTTCCCTATATAAATATATATATATAAATATATATATGGAAAAATATTATCTTATGTGGTAGGAGAGTATTTTTCTCTCCTACACATACATCGACTTTCGTGTTGCTTTTTTTTTCTTTAAGTGTGTGGGTCCCACTCATCACTATCTCTATGATATAAGAGAGCTTCTCTTATGTCGCATGAGATTAATAAAGCCCTATATATATATATAGGCGAGGAAAATATCAAGAAATACTTATAAAACAAGATGTTTAAATTGATTTCTTTCACACTAAAGGATGAAAAGGAGTACCAGTGACAAGATAATAAAAATCATGAAAAAGAGGGTAAACACTACTTTTTGAAAAATAGAAGTCAATTATATCATCATCACTGGAATACATCAAAAAGTAATAATTTCTGCTATCATGCTTACTTGATATAAAAGTCAATGATAGTATCATTAATGAATGTCTCTGGCTGTAAAAGCTCAACATCTCTCTTACTAATAGAAACAGCATCAGGCTCCCCCCTTGGATAAATAACCTCGTCAAAAGTCTCATCAAAACTGCAACGTATCATATCACGTTGACAAGCAATTTCTTATCAATAATTATCATACAACACCTATAAATAAATGCATAAAAGTCAAAAGGGTTTCAAATATGAGAACCAAGCTTCATGGAGCAACATGCAAAAATTTAATATACTCGGGATCATGGGCATGGCAACAAAGAATGAACTCTCAAACACTTCATTGAAGAGGCTCAAGTTTAGGGTTTTTATCCATTTATGGTTTTTATGCTCAAGTTTAGGCTTAACTCTTAAACCTATGTCAGGAACCAACTAACAAAAGCATAAGCAATTAGGTTCAGTCGAACTTATGGTTTTTATCCATTTCTGTAGCCCCAAAAGTTACAAAAAAATATACTAAGGAAGGAAAACAAACAATTATATTTTCAATAGCTAGAGGGGGTCAAGAAATTCTGGCTCATATAACCACCAAAGCAAATAACATAGATAAGCATTGATGAATTGTCATAATAAGGAATCAAAATTCTAAACTTAATTATGAAATAACACCAATATCACACAGATTGTATTTCAACAGAAATTCGAAAATTGAAGTAGAAATATTTGTTCGACTTACATGGTAAAATAATGCTTCTGAGAGAAAAAACTGTCCTTCCCCAATGCAGAAATATTTCCATTGTTATCTGTATCAATGCTGCTCGGAGGAAATAAAATTTAATACTAATTAACACCTCAAAATATTGAGCAAAAACCCTTTGCACAGTTAAGAAATAAAGCACCGAAAAAAAATACTGAAAGACAATGTGGACAAAACATTTCACAAAAAGCAACACCCAAAAAATAAAGCAAAAATGGAACCCATATCCCATCATGAGAAAAATTTAAAACTTAATGGTATGGGATACCAAATGATATAGACATATATGAAATCCATCTAACTTGAAAATGACCATTCTGTTGAATCATATATTAATTTATTCAAAACACACTATGTATTCATTTCCTTGGATCAGTGATGATACGACAATTTGTATACTTACAAAATACATAATTTGGTTGGTAAAAACAAAAATTATTGCACTTGCAAAATATATTTTACACATCCAATGAGTTATGCAATAAATTTCTTACTCAAAAGCACTACTCCACATATTTGCGTATCTCATATCCAATGATTTGATAGCCGCTTCTGCCTTGAACCAACATGAGTCATAAACTGCAAATTTCAACTGCTTAAAGTCTGCATGAATTTAAGGGAAGGTTATGGGTGTTCAGCAAATTACTGATAGATTTTACAAAAGGTACAGCTATCTAAATTGTAACAAAATGATCAACCAATAAAAAGAAAGAAAATTACAATCAACAACTATTATGTCTAAATTTTTCCTGAATATGAAAGGGAATTTTGAAAATGGAAGATGAAATAAAATAAATGAGAGAAAGATATATCCATTTACTGACCAACATGATTGCAATTAAACAAAATAGGCCAGATATTTACTTGAATTCTCCAAGGTTTTTAGTAGTGCATGTGTCCTGTGAAATATTATGCAAATTAATGGTCCAGATTGTCAATCTGGTTTTTCCAAAGTTATCAAATGAGGATTGCGGCCTGTCGTGGCCAACCCTAAAAAACGATATGGCGATAGACACACACATTCATTCATAATGAAGAATTGTTTCAAAACAAAATAGGAATTCTAAATAGTCATTGGCTGCCATCTTTTAAGGAAAATAAGTGATAATGGGCAGGTGGAATTTAAAAAAAAATTGGTCAACAAATAGAATGTTGACAAAATAAAAACTTGGTCAACCTCAAATCCTAAACCCATTACCCATATTATTCTGTTTCTATCAATAAAAAAATCAAAGCATGTTATTAAAACAAGAATAAGGACAGTGGCAGAAGCATCAACAAGTAACAAAACAATTCTTCAATACAAGTGACACAACAAATTATCAAAAAAAAATGACACAAGTACTTTTCTCTTCTTTGAATGTCCTGACACATGTACTTTTCTCTTCTTTGAATAAGATAGATCAGAATAATTTTTCTCTTCATCTGTTCTCTCTCTCTCTTACTCTTTCTCTCACTCGGAGCTTTGCTTCTTCATTCATGGATTCCACATTGATCTTCAATACTACGAGTGAGACGAACAAGTGAGAAGAAGAGAATGGCAGAGACGAACACGATAGAGAGAGAGAGAGAGAAAGAGCAGAGACACACGAGAGAGGCAGAGACATGTGACAGAGAGAGAGGAATGTAGAAAGAGAGAGTGGGTTGGGGTTAAACCCACAAAATGACATTGTTGTGGCGCGATTTAGCAGCAAATGCGGCCGCAACGGCCACTATTGTGATCTGGTGTGACATGGTGCGACATGTGCTCCGCGAAGCGCAATTGGCACTGCTTGCGGTGCAATAGTGCCACGATTGACTACTATGGTTTTTTCCTCTCCCTTCCCCTCGTTTATCTTTTTTTCCTTCTGGCTAGCATTAATTTGAATGAAAAGTAATAAGCCAAAGCTCCCATATATATATATATATGGAAAAGTGTTTCTCCAGTCCCAGGAGATAAAATTATATCTAGCAACCTCAAAACTACGTCGCATTGGGGATTGAGATAATTAATGAAGGATATTTTAGGAATTTTATTTGCTTCTTTGTTATATGAATTTTACCAAAACACCCTTCATTAATTCCCCTAACCCTCAAAACGACGTAGTTTTGAGGTTGCTAAAGATAACTTTATCTCCTGCGGTAGGAGAAATGATAAATAGGGATGTGCATGGGTCGAACTGAATCGGTTTTTTTGAAAAACCGAACCGAATTGGTTTAAATGGTTCGGTTCAGTTCAAAACTGGTTCGTTTCGGTTGGAAACGGTTCGGTTCGGAACCGGTTCGGGTCGACCCCTTTTGAAAAGAAAAAAAAATTAAAATTTAAAAAATAAAGTTATAAAAATAAATTTGGTTCGGTTTGAAAACGGTTCGATTCGGTTTGGAAACGGTTCGGTTCGGTTCAAAATGGTTCGGTTCATGAACTGGTTTTTAAAAATCGGTTATTTTAAGGGGCGGTTCGGTTCGGTTCAGTTCATGATTCGGCTCAGTTTTTTGGTTATTTTGCACACCCCTAACGATAAACCCATATATATATATATATATAGGGGAATATGTTTCTCAAAAGTGGCCCCACCCACTTTTTGTGTGTATGCGACAAAATTGTCCCATGCAACATGATATATATTATATATATACAGGGGAATATGTTTCTCAAAAGTGGGCCCCACCCACTTTTTGTGTGTATGCGACAAAATTGTCCCATGCAACATGAGAGACATATATATATATATATGATTTTGTAGAGCACTAAAAAAACAACTATAGCCATTCCTAAATCTTAAAAAACAAGTGACCGAGGAACAAAAATTAGGAATACTCTTTTCTATTGGACAAGAATACCATCCACCTTCAAAAATCAACTTTGCTCTAAAGTCTAAACTCTAAAGTGGCGTTTGGTACAGGAGAAAATAATTTTGCCGGAATGTGATCGGAAATAATTTTTTCCGGATAAGTTACAAAAATGTGTTTGGTTGACCAAAATTTGTCCCAGGAATATTTGATTAAGTTTACTGAGTTGATGTTTGGTTGATTGTGAAATAGTAGTAGGAATGTGGGGTTATTTTACAAACATAACCCCACTTTTACTTTTTCATTCAAAATTAGTACACAAAAAGTAAGGTTAATTTGGTCAACATTATTTTAGTTACTTTTTACTTCCCCATGCAAAAAATTATACCACCTAATCTATGGAGTTTCTAATAAGATAGCCGTACAACAATTTACACATAGCAACAAAAATCAGGCAAACTTTTTACCAAGGAAAGATTTGCATTTATTGGTACCAAACATAACATTCTAATTCTCCATATCAAACTTTCCAAGGAATTCCAATATAATTTGGCTAACAAACGCCGCCTAAAGGTTTGTATAATGGAAATATCTCTACTCATCATAACCCCAAAAGACCTATAGCCAGAGGCAAAATCCACTAATAATCCAAACTTTACATCATGATAAGATTTCTCAAAGACACAATCAACTAACAACTACATGAAGGTAAGACCTGTAAAATCCTGAGCAATGCAGCATTCATTAGAAAGTATTGTATTTACTCAAGGGCATAAGAAATGTTCCCCTTTTTGTTCATTCTGTCATTCACATTACTTTAGCAAGCAATAGCCAAACAATTGATTACCATATACCGAACAGGGTCACAAGCAAGCAGATTACTGACATCAAATCCATACTGATGCACAGAAAATGATCCATGACATTATTTTCAAAAGTAGTCACACCTGGATTTTGATTCGTATTTCCAGCTTCCCCAGAATCTTTTGATTTAAGGTGAAGGTTGATCATGGCTGTTTCAATCTACAGACAGAAGACAATCAAATTTGTTTGTAAGAGATTATTAAAAAGAAATAAAAGAAGCAATTTACCTTTCCCAACCAGCTTGATTCAATTTTTATAATATCTTCAGTTGCCCACTCAATTTTAAAAGTTTCCCTAGTTCCATTGATTGTAGAGCCTTCTAGTTTCAGGAAGCAGCATGAGAATATTAACCGCGACCTAGTGGAATATAAATCCTCATATTGAATAAAATCAGGGAAGACATCAACCATCTTTTTAATGTCATTCTGCACATGAAGAAAAATCAACAGTTTAACAGAGATATCAAACCAAATTTAAAAAATAAGAAATCCAAACATATAATATTGTAAAGTTCTATATTTTCAATGTCTCAAAGAACAAGATTAATCATAAAATATTTCTTTTTAAAGAAAATATTATTATTAAATAAAAATAATTCCAATGGAAAACCTACAAACCTATTAATGGAGTCCTAAACACCTTTTTATAAGGTGTCAAATAACCCTAAAACGTAACTAAAATATGCCTAAAAAACGAAATTAAAAATATATCTGATTACAAATCAATCAACATTAAACACACCTAAAATAAGGAAACAATTCAAATTAAATCAACCTGATAATTAAAAGATTACGAAAAGGAACCAAATCACGTCTCACGTTCCAAATCTAAACCTTCCCATGTAAGCCGATTCTAAGTACATCAACTATTTTTACTAAGTTAAGTTTAAGAAAACAAAATCAAGTGCAGAATAACATTTCATTATAAAGAACCTCAGCACTACACCTACTTCCAGGTCATTCAATTTTATTATTTTCTATCAACACTTCTTCCTAAGTTACAAGTTCCAAAATTTATCCTAATAAGTAATCAATACTAAGTAAATTTTAAAACCACGGAATCATTCTTCCAGAACATAAAAATAGAAAATATCCTTTTCAACTACTCCACCCAAGCTTACTGTCTTTTCCATCTGTTACGCTTTTCCATAGTTATCAATAGCGCTGCTTTTGCACTACTGTAGCATGTTCCAGCACCCAGCCGCGACTAGCCGCTGCGCCACGCGATGGTTTGTGGTAGCAGCCGCAACAACAGTCAAATCGCGGCAATACAGCAAAGCTGCGTAACATTCTAATTTTACCCTCGATTTAAAGAGCCAACAATAATATTTTAGGGGTCAAATCATCTTTTAACCCTGTTTTTATTCTGAACCTCTCTACCCTCTCTCTCTATGCGTCGACCTAGATCTCCCTTTCTCTTTCGTCTCTCCGCTACTAGCAGCACCAGCAACCAACTTCCGTTTCTGGCGAGCAACTTCCGTTTTGGGCAACCAGCAACTAGCTTCTCTATGTTCTAAACATTTAGGGTGGGTTCTTTGACAATGTTTAATATGCAAGAGTGGGGTTTGTTTTGGGTGGTTTCTGTGACATTGTTTCTTTGTCTTGGGTTCTATGACTGTGTTTATTTGTCTTGAGTTTAAAGGTTTAATTATATGAATAGGACTCTGCTATTTAATGCTGCCGCAACCCGCTATACTATAGCATTTTCAGGAGTTAGCTGCTACTGGCCGCCTATGAAGCACCGACACTTCAAAACACCTGACGTATCGTGTCCGACACTCCAACACGCATTGCATAGACTAAAAAAAAGTTCAAAGATTGCGTTGCGTTTTTAGTTCCAACTATTAGATTCGTTCGTTTACAATTATCATTTATTGAGTTTAATATAAATATTTGTGATATCTTATGTTTCTTTGCAAAATTGATGGTTATTATACGTTTAGCTTTAATTTTTTTTAAATTATTGAATATTAAATATAATACACACTACATAAATTAAAAATATTATTTAATATCAAAACGTGTCATAACATGTCGAAATCTAACATTTTTTAGAATTAACGTGTCGGAGTGTCGTATCCTATCCCGTGTCGGTGTAACATAGCTGGCCGCTACCCACATTTGATAACTATGAGCTTTTCCACCTACCTCGTTTCTTTCTTGATTGTTCTCTCTCACTTCTATTGTCAAGATACTATGGGCCTGTTTGGATGGGTTTTAGAAAATAGAACTTTTTATAAATTGCTTTTTATTCAAAAGGTTTTTTTTTTTTTTCAAAAACCAAAACTATTTTGCATTTGGATGGAGGACCTAAAAAGCATTTAAAAATAAAAAAAAGTAGTATTTTGACTTTGTTGTGGCTTTTACATATTTTTTTAAAGTTGACATTCTGAGAAGCACTTTTTTTTTAATAAAAACAAACAGCTTCTTGGGCAAAGCAAGTCCATCCAAATGGCCCTATACTCAACATATCGTCATACTCATAATTTTTTTTATTTGTTTTTCCCCTAAAACAAAAGAAATAGAGAAAGGAGAACAAATTTCACTTTTGTCATAATGAAACCAAAAGTTTTGATGTATTGTCTCCAAAAAGATTACAACCAAAAGGTAACACAATTAAGAAATAAATCACAAAAAAAATGACAAGTGCACTTACAATTTCAAATGCAGTAGAGCCAAGCTCCACTAGCTTGTCTTCTAGGTTAACTGAAATCACAATAATAAAAATTGACAATTAGTAAATGGTAAACAAGTACGAAATAAGAGAGTATTACCACTGCCTATTAAAATAAGAATACTTAATATGTCACCTAGAAAATCTTAAAGCAAGGAAAAAATACCTTCAAATTCTGAAAGATTTGAAATTGAAGTTGAAGAACCTATTTGACTACTGTCGTCATCATCTTCAGAAACCATATCAAGTGACTGGTTCTGAAACAAAATTACATTAACGGTCACCAAAAAATATCCATGATTTTTTTCGACGAAGGAAAATAAAGAGAGAGCTTGAAACACGAAAAAAATGGAGACAGTAATGAGTAATTACTTTCAAGTCAAAGTTACTTTCCACGATATCAGTGTAACCAGTGATCTCTTCATCAGTACAGTTTTGTAGTGGTATGTTTATTGAACATGAATTAGCACATTTGTCTTGATTATCTATACTGGTACCAGAACCACCAACACCATCATCATCATCAACCTCTAACGATTTGTTGGTAACTTCCTCCTGTGAGCACTTGGTTTCTTCTTCTGATTGACACAAAATTTGAATAAAAAAAAGTTAAAGTAAATCATAATGAGGAAGCAGTTGAGAAACGATGTGCATGAATGATCCATACCTTCTTCGGCATCAAGGTCAATTGGATCACCGGTAACGTGCTTGGATAGAGGTTGGGAACCGCGCGCAACTGCACAGAGGCAACAATCGCAAACAGGAATCGAAATGAAGGAAAGGGAAATGGAAAAGAGTGGAGTGTGGAGTAACTTACATGCTTGGAGGAAATCGTACTTGGTAATGGGGGAGGAGCAAGACTTGCTAGGGTTTGTGAACTTGTCAAGCATCATCTGCGAGACCTTCTCGATCTCCTCTTCATCTTCGTTGAACTCGAAGACTTCGAATTTCTTCGTTGCGGAAGAAGAACAAGATTGTTTGCACCGAGTCATGGAGTGAGTGAGTGAGACCGAGTCGTTGAGGGGAGAAACTCGCTACCAAAATTAGATATAATTCGGGGAACTAATGTTTTGTCTTTTCGATTTCCTATTTCCTTTCATTTCCATTTCTTTTCCTCTCAGCTGCACCTTTTACCCGGGGATTTAGGTTCCTTCCTCTGCAATTCTTTCGTAAAATAACTTTTTTTAAAATAAAAAAATCTAACAAAGTAAATAAATAAAATTTAAATAACCATGTAACATTCCACGTGTTAATATTTTTAAAAAATTACTCAAATAATTATTACCTCACCTTATTTTTATGAGAATAGATATCATGCCATGTAATAATAACATTTCAACCTCTAGATATAAATAAATGATTTTTTTTTCTCAATGTATTTTTTTTATCACAGTTGATTTTTTTTGTGAGATCTATCATGCTACATGTCACATAGAGAGATTATTGGAACGAGAAAAGTTATTTGTAATTCCGGAACATCATTATTAGTTGTTTCTTTTTCCTAAATTGAAAATTTTGTATGATATTTTTGCCCTTGTCATTTTGCTTATTTTCATCTATGTCCTATTTTTTTTTCTACTTTTGGCCAAGGTACACATGCACCCGGTCCACTATATCTTTTCTCTTTTGTAGTGAATTTGTTTTTAAACTATATATATATATATATATATATATATATATATAAAACTATTTCTGCAGGTTACTGCAGACAAGTTATCTGCATTTACTCCCAAAATGACATCGTTTTGAGATTGAAATATTAAAAAATTTAATTATAAAGACTAAAATAACCTTGAAATAAATTTAAATTACAAAAACACCATAATTTTCTGTCTCAAAACAACGTCGTATTGGGCTTGCGGCAGAAAAAACGAACCCATATATATATATATATATATATATATATATATGTGCAGGATATTCTTACACCGTTGTAAGAGTTAGAACTCTTACACTTAATCTTAACCATTGATCAACTTGTATCCAATAGTTCACATTACTAAAAAATTTGAGCCCTTAGATATAAGTGAGATCAATGGACAAGATTAAGAGTGTAACTTACACTGGTGTAAAATAATCATGACCCATATATATATATATATATATATATAGGTAGGATCTTTTGACACCGGTGTCAAATTTGAAGTTTGTCACCTCATCTGAGAGCCGTCAGATAAAAAAATATCAACGACTCTGATTTGTAAGCATGTGACACCGTTGATCTTTTTTGATCTAACAGCTCTTAGATGAGGTGTCAAACTTCAAATTTGACACCAGTGTCAAAAGATCCTACCCCATATATATATATATATATATATATGGGGCAGGATCCTTTGACACCGGTGTCAAACTTTGAAATTTGACACCAAATCCTAACCGTTGGTTTTCGCCAATCAATAGTTATAATTTATTGGGAACTACACTTATTAATTAATAATTAATTGCTAATAAATGATAACCGTTGATTGACGGAAATTAACGGTTAAGATTTGGTGTCAAATTTCAAAATTTGACACCGGTGTCAATGGATCCTATTCCTATATTATATATATATATATGGCTTATCGTTTATTAAGTTACTTGAAATAATTTTATCTCCGCTAATAAATCATAACTGTACATCAATACTGATAAAGGAAGGGAGAGAAAAAGAGAATTATAATAATTTAAAGTTGAATCAACGAATATAAGGAAATAAATAAACAAAATGAGTAGTTTTTGTGTGTACAGAGATAAAATTTTTTTTTCTCTATATATATCGGAGAAGCTGAGGCTGGGATCAAAGAAACTGTGCTATCATGCCTATGATTACACAACTCCTTTTGTCATGATGCCTCTAGATAAAATTTGTAACACTAACTTGTGTAAAGCAAATCGTTTTTTTACATGGCAATCACTAATGGAAAATGGAAAAGTGATCATAGGAAAATTATCACGACGATCATCTTGATTAATGTAACAGCTTTAAATTAAAGAATGAAATCGAATGTGGGGAACAAAATGCCCCATCAAGCAAAATCTACAAATGGGTTAGTTCTCTTTCCGTCAGAATATAGATTGAGAGATATAGATAGATAGATTCAAACAATCTCATTCTTCAGCTGCCGCACTAGCAGCACTTAGGTCCACCGAAAGATCAAGAGCCTGTAAGAATAAATAAAAGAGGTTATTAGCCAAGAGAAAATCCAGAACTCCAATGCTACATTATATTTTTCCACTTTTGTCTGATTTTCCACTATTATGTAACAGTACTGGAGTATTAATCTTATTCCTGTGTTTAAACGAGAAGAAATAGAAATGCGAGATGGTAGTTCATCCGTGTCACATTTTATAAAGAAGAAATAGAAATGCTTTACAATTTCCTAATCCATTGGTTTGTGAGGAAACAAAATCATGGTCTAAGTATGATGCTTTGTTTGTTGAAAATTTGATAATAGTACCAAGAAAAAGGAGGCTTAAAAAAGGAGAATAGTCCTGCATTGCACATGTTTTTTCTGAACAAAAGGTACTAGTACAAATAATGTAAAGTTTGAAAGTGTAGAAATAGATCTGTTAGTTTGTTCGTCCTTCCTTTTATTGCTTATGATAATGGTTCTTTCTGAATTCTCAATATCCTAAACCTGTGCATTTTTTTGTTGTAATTGGGATAGAATATGTAATTTCATTAGAATATTAAATTAAAAAAATTGTAATTACCTTTCCAGTGATCTTACTGTACATCTCAAGCACATCTTCTACCGAGGTCTCAAAGTGTGTGGTAGCATCGTAGCTCTGCAAGGAATTCAATTTCTAAGTGATGTTCGAAGCTAAAAAAGAATAAGAGATCTCATTATACTGGCTGAATAAAAGCATGATAATTTCACATCCATCATGTAGGAAACCAGAGACAAGAGCATGCCCTAAATATTTTTAAAATAGTTGCCTAATTTAGTTGTTTAAGTTACGAGAATTCCATGACATGAGATGTTAATTACTTCACTTAAACCGTAAGAATATTGAATTTTCTCTTTTTCTCCCACATATCTCGGGAATGTTAATCAGTTGTAGACTCCATACTTTCCATCTCACTTTGTAATGCATTGATATGTTAATATGTTATGGTTCTATATAACCCATTCAAGTGCCCTGTCACATGGGATAGGAAAAGACAGAAATCAAACAGAAGGAGGAAAAATATGCTTTTGAACTTACTGCTGAGATAAAACAACCATCGACTTCAGGATCATTTGAGGGTACATATCTGTCATAGGTGTCATAGAATATCTCATCTACAGGTCCAAGAAGGTCAATACCAGGTTTCAATTCCACCTCAGGTTGATCAGTCTCTGCTTCTGTTGAAACAAAAGCAATATATTTTCCTTTTGGTGCTACATTGTGAGTATAAGAGCAGCAGAAGAGATACCTGCAATAACAAGGAGAATTAGGAAATAGAAGCTATGAAAGTTGAAATTAGGAATATTCACGAGTAGAATTTCATTTTGTTACTCCATTTAATTTTATAATTTTCTCAATCATACCTAAGAACTGAAAGAGCCTAATTAGTGGAAATGCATGGTTAATCAGTTTGTCTTACTAGTGGTTTCACAATCTTAAACCTCTTTTCATTTTCTTCTTCTTCTTTTTTTGGGAGGGGGGTGTGGGGATTAGAAGGGAATTTGAATTACATTTTGCAATTTATAGCCTATTTTGCGGTATTAAATAGCATTAGCTGTCAATTACCAAATACTTTCTGTTGAGAATAATATAAACCATTAAAAAGCCCTCATCCACTAGTTTAAGCTTTTGGGTTGAATTGGTTCTTTACATGGTATCAGAGCCTCGTGTCCCGAGTTCGATCCTCGCCGTCCCCCACTTTCTTTCAAGTGGAATTTCTTTGTTCGCACATGTAGGTGGGTCTGTGCATTGTCCACCCTTCAAGCCCAATGAGCTCTCGTGTGAGGAGACGTGTTGAGAATAATATAAACCATTAAAAAGCTCTCATCCACTAGCTTAAGCTTTTGAGTTGAATTGGTTCTTTACACTTTCTATAACTACAAAGGTCAAAAGCCATGCATATAGAGTATGGTCCTGTCAGGATTTCGATTATCTACTTCTTAAGAACATTGTAGTGTCAATTTCGGAGAGAGAAAGCCATAAACAATTCTTGTGTAGGACATGTGGATTCCTCACAGGAAAATAGTATGCCCATGTGAGGGGAAACTTGTGTTTTTCTTACTCAAAAAGACAATGTCTTGTTCTTCAAGCAAATGCTAAGATTTAAATCAAGTCCTGCTTATGGTCTGTTCTTTAATTCGTATTTAGTAAAATATGATATTACTTTAGTAGTTCAAGCACTTACATATCTGATTTACGACCAAGTTGCTTCTGCGGCAGAATTACTTGTGCTGAGTGAGAATCATCGGTGTCTGGAATAGGATGGCTCATAATACATATTGCACGTGCAACTTTTCCAACCTTGTGGACCTGATGCATTCATTTAATAGTGTCAGGTCGAGATCACATTTAATCATGTAATTGCTGTGCTGCAATTCGTATTCAGATACATTATTCAGCATTTATATTATTCTTTTGATTTGATCATGCAAACAAACATATCCAACCACAAAAAAGTACATAGCTCGTAGTATTATACCCTTTAGAAATTTAACAGCTGATACCTTATCAGGCAGATATGATGGATCACACACAACTTTCTTGCATTTGGCTGTTTCTCCTTCAGAGGTGACACCAATGGCTTTCCCATCGCCATCAAACTCTACCTGTGTACTCAAAGATAAAATGTGAGGAGAAATATGCAGCAAGGAACTTTGGAGTACTTACAAATACCTAATGGATCCTTTTGTTTATCAGAAATTGGTAAGCTTGAGAATAAACACACAATCAGGAAAAATAGAACGAGAATAGAATGACAAGGAAGGACAAGTGAATTGCTTTACACAAGAACTAAATTTTTAGTGTGTTTGGCTAAGGAGTTCGAATAGATGGTCTGTCATTTTTCTATTAGAGAAGGGGCATGTTCAACTAAAATATATGTCAAAAGCAATGCAATATATTTGGTGTAAAGTTGTTACCAATAACCAATCATGGTTAGTTACAAAATTTCATAGGTCAAATCAAGATTATGCTTTTCAGTTATTACTATTATAAATTTGGTATCTTACAGTTTGTTTGAGTCAGAGAGAGTAGTAAATGTAAGGAATTAAACAAACTTCTGCTACTATTCGCTTCAACACTAACCTCCAGGACGTCCTTGCTGTAAACCTCAAAATTAGACAGAAAGGTTTAAATAAATAAATAGTTTTGACAAATAAGGGGTGTAAAATGAAGGGAAACTGGATGAAAACTGTAACGAGTTCATTTATACGGTGACAATAATTTTGCTGGAATAAAATTAGTGTTAATAGTTTAGACACAGTAGCAATGTGGACATGGGACATCATTTTGTGAGTAACTCAAAGGATTTTATTTTATTTTCAAGGGATGAGCTTAAGTACATTTCTTCACATGCAGTAGAGAAGCATCAAGATACAAGCTTCCCACCACAACTTATAGTAGTTCATATGTATTTCCTGAATATTGAAGTGTGATCATAGACTTACCTTGCATTCTGGCTTGTTCAGCATGTAAGTTCCACCATATACTGCACTCAAACGTGCAAATGCCTGCAGAACAACAAAGAAATTAACATTAGCTCCTGCACTATACTCAATTTTTCATATAAAATCATTAATTTGCCTTCACCTAAAGTATTGACCTTTTGTATTGATTTAGTTCTTGACAAAATTTAGGAGTGTAGAGAGAGAGAGAGAGATTGAGAACCTGAGGCAACTCTCCCAGCCCATACATTGGATATATGTAAGGTGATCCTCCTAGAAAACGTGCTAGGGATTCGGCATAAAGCTATACAGAACATAAAATAGAATTCAGGGTTATAATATAAGGTTTACTTACTGATTCTTTATGCAAAATGTAATCAACTGAAAGGTATAAGTAAGCCAAAAATGGGACAGTTGGTTGCATGACAGAATCAAGGATATCATTAATAATTTCAAAGCCATGCAATAAAATGGCCCAAAACATCCTACTCTTTCAGATATGTAATTTAATGAAAAAAAATCCAATGGTCACTTCATAATATTCTTAAAATCACTATATGCCAAAAAATCATATGGTCCAGAAACTAGTGCTTTGAGCCATGAAGCGGTTTAGGGGGAAAAAAATGATAGACCCATAGACAGAATTCAGTAAAACAATCTTTTCTTGCATGTATAATGTATAAAATTTTATTAATTTCCTACTGTGATAATCTACATACATACCTATATGCAAGTGGTACATGATAATAATTTTAGTTGAGGGAATTCTTCCGCATCATATCATACTGCAAAAGTTTAGGAGGATGATTCTAATTATTAGTACCTTAATTCTCTCAACGAAGTCCTTTGCTGGCTCATCCAAGTAATTATCATCAAGATGAAGTGCCAGGGCATGACCAATAAAGTCAATTGTATCATCCTCCAACCCGTATTTCCTACATTTGGAGAAACCATGAAAAACGTTGAAAAGGAGAATGAATCAAAGTAGTAAAGTAGGATATGATAACTGCTAACTCCTCTATATCATATAGAGTCTGCAGGAACACTTGGCCACTGGAGTGACCAATTTCTCTAAAACCTAAATTCATATCATACACCGACATAAATCAATATCACACAGATATAAAGCAAAATCTTAAATAGATGTTCATCTCGGTTAATTGGTCCATGTCGTTGTATTGTAATGCTCTAGTAATGGCAAGACAAACTGTGAAAATGGTTTTGGTATATATGAACTATGTGTTAGAAATTGAATATACTGGAAGAGACAACTAGACTTGTGTATCTAAAAAAAAAAAAATTCTTTTCTATTTTTGCTTTCTTGCTCTTTCTCTTTTTCTCTTGATCTTCATTTCATACAAACTATCAAAGCTATTTATAAGCTATAAAACTGACCAACATAACTCCACACATAACACCTCATTACTTTATAACTGACATAACTGACTCATTAATGTCCACTGACACAAACCTAGGACATGACTCTTCACCGGAAAACTCTTCACATTTCTATTTTCTATTTTCTATTTTTATCTCATTAAAATTTAACCCAACACTACGAAGAAACAGAAAAATTCTCATTTCTTAAATATTGTGCACAAAATTTCATTTTTGGTTATCTGTCAAAAATTTCTTCATAAAAAAAATTATTTATTCGTTGACCTTGATGTGCTTTGTGCTAAGCTCATACAAATTAAGGAAGCCTTTTTAAAATATAAAATTAAAGTCAAATATAAAAATGCTAAAACAATAAAATAAGATCAATTTTCATAATTCACTAAGTATTGGGAATTCAAATGAAAAAGAAATGAAGTGGATACACACGATATCAGCTGCCTTGCTGTAACTTGGTTCAACTCTAGCCCTTCATGAGATTTTGGATCATTTGCTTCATAGTCTTGGACATAAATGAAGAACTTTCGGGCACGACGCTTCTCAAACAGTCCCATCAAAGATGACTTCAGTGCTTCAACGTCTGTTGCTGGAACTTTGTAAATCTAAAAATAAATACATTTCTGTTAATAAGATTTTATTCAATATGCAAGATATTTTGTGAAATGTAAAGTTGGCAATATAGAAAAGTAACAATTATGGAGAGTCAAAAGAAAATGAAAAAATAAGATAACTATGGTGCACACCTTTCCCTTATTATACACAAAACTTCCATCTACAGCTTTAAAGTGTAAATACTTTGTAACATCTGTGTGGATAAGAACACGGACCAAACCTCCATTGGCCATCGTAAACTACAACAAAAACAGATGAAAAGATGGTTTTTATCATAAATGAATAGAAATGGAAAACACACATCTCCAAGCAGAAACTATAGTCAACATGATATATACATCCAATCAAAATCAGGGGGGGAAAAAAGGAAAAAAAAAATGGTCATTTACTGCATGTAAGAGAACTTGAAGCAAATTTCTCATTGTTTCCTCACATTAAAGTAAGAATATTAATTTACAAAATCGTTGTATGATCAAATAGAAAAGAAGCAGAAGAATTAGTATATTCACACACTTTTTTGTCCAATTGAAATTTGTAGGTAAATTTAGAAAAGTGAGGTATACACGTAATATGTAGAGAGGTTCAACATGACAGAATTAGTGGAGCTCTTGGTCCAAGACATAAGTTTCAATGGACTTAAAATCTTAATCCAAAAATCTTTTAGGTAGGTTTATAGGTCTTTTCACTAATAAAATCTTCACTTAGTCTATTCCTTTCTAACTTGAAAACTCACTTAAATTTTGCTGTTATGAATCCAGTTACCTTAGGAATCATATCAACATTATAGTCCCTGCTTGAGCCCAAGTGCTCTGGCGGTTGGTCATCTCCCCTAAATCGCTTCCATAACTACATAGCAGAAAATGAGCTTTAACATGAAAAGAAAACAAAACATGAAAGGAAAAGGAGATATTTACATGCTTTCAAGGTAAATCTCCATCACATGTGAGAGTAATGACCTGTGTAAGATGAAGAGATGTAGACTCTCCTCCATAGTAGTCATTTCTGTCCATGTGCAACACCTGATTCAAAGAATACAAGGATAGGAATCACCAAGATTAAATTCCAATACTATAGTCAGGCAATTGAAGCCCTTATGGTAATTAATTAACATATGCATATAGCATGCTTTTTCCATTTACCATCTTGAAATACACAAACAACTGTCCTTTAGTAATAATAGTTTTAGCAATATAGCTGTAATGAAAAATATGTCACCAAAAAAAAAAAAAAAAAACTGTAATGAATGGGTAAAATGCGTTTTTTTTTTTTTTTGAATCAAAATATGAAGATAAAACTATTTAATGGTCAACATAAAATATTTTATGAAATTTGCAGAGATGTTCCATTCCGAATGGAAGTTGAAGGAGAAGAATTACTTTGAGGCCATCAACGGAGAGAAGGCCACTAAGAATGCATTCCTTGAGGCCTGTCCCCAGGACGATTACATCGTACTCTTCATCCATGCTGGGAAATTGGAGTTTCTCAGTTTCAGTTATTAGGATAGAAAATAAATGTAAATGACATGCAGAAAGAAAAAAAAGAAAGAAAAAAGAAGCTTTTAAGACAAGACAATGAGATTTGAATTTGTTTAATTGTTTATACGAGATTTGGAACAGAGCAGGTCTTTAGCAGTTAGTAACGATAGTAACGCTGTCCCCAATCACACTGCAAACCATCCTTCACCGCATTTGGCTACACCTATTTTCTTTCTCTTATATTTTATGTTTCTGCTAGAAACATAATGGTACAGTGAAATTCTATTTATAAATAATATATAAACGAAAAACCTTTTTCACTTTAAAGCACATTGTATTATTTTAACTGAGATGACGGTATTTTGGGACATACTCTCTTTCAGGAAATATAAAGATCAATAAATATGTATATCAAAATATATATTTTACTTTTTGCTTGGATGAATCTATGTTTACTTTTTTTTTGAAGACAACTAAGGAGAGGTATTACTAGTTAAAGTTATTTTATTAGTGTGTTAATTGGTTTGTTTAAATTAAGTTCTATAATTACAATTTTTTATCTAATAAAAAAATATGATATTTTTTTGAATTAAACTTTTTTCAAAAAAAAATGTAATTAAAATAATTTAAAAATAATATCAAATAAAAGGTTGTTTTCCAGCATAAAACAAATCAATGCATTCATAATTATAATCTTATAAAACATAATAAAAAGACTCATACTAAAAAAAAAATTAATTATATGACACGATTATTTTACTTATTTACGACAATATTTAAGGATGCCTTTTATATATATATATATATATATATATTGTAGGACAATCTTTATAAAAATAAAAATATGGCTATATTTTATTTTCTAAACAGACTTTTCAAATTAAACCCTGTCAAGATGTTGGGCCGAATCAGGTGATGCGATCCGCAATCCGAAACTTGATCATGAATCATAATAGATATCAGTGACTTTGTTTTAATTTATTACTAATTAAATAAGATTATTATCTGTAATTCTAAAATTATGTAGGTTTGAGGAGAATTAATAAAGAATATTTTGATAAAATTTATATAATAAAATAAAATAAAAAAGTAAAGCACCCCTTATTAATTTTTTTAATTTTTAAAATGACATAATTTTAATATTGTAGGAGATAATTTTATTTACTAAAAACAATTTTCCCAATAAATAATTAACCTCAGTTTTGTTTTGTTAGGTTAAATTCAAAAGAGAGTGGTCCAGGTGCAATTGTGCGCAACATCAATCACAGGCAATAATGAACTCAAGGGAGCTAAACAAGCTGAGGGAGAAGAGGAAGAGAATCAGGATGATGATACCATACATATTACATAAGTACTATTCACAGTAGAGCAAGCAATCGATGCATGGGTTCAGCTTGCAGGTGAGCCTAAAAAAGACACTATATATGACCTTGATTCTCAAACTGTTAATCTGTTATCATGCACGGATTTGTCGATTTTAGTACTTAATTTTTTCGAGGTACAAAATTAATAGAATCGAAGCATGTTTGATAAAATGAAAGAAAGTATAAGAATCCGAGAGAAAGTAAAAGTCAGAGAGAGAGAGAGAGAGAGTAGCTTTAGAGAATCTGTGTATTCGATATTCTAATGAACTCAGTGTTGAGTTCTTACGTTTATGGAGTCTGTTGTACAGTTGGAGACAACTATTACTACAACTAACAAACTCTAACAAACTCTAAACTAACAGCTAATAGTTACAACAGAAGCTAAAAGTTTCTGTAACTGAACTAGGGATTATACTACTGAATAGTTAGTTACACATGTATATCTAATCTGTAACATTCCCCTGAAAACTCAAGGTGGATGAAACTGGTTGAACACCCTGACTTTGTCTCAAATAGAACAGAATCTGAGTCCTCAGTGAGAACATCTGCATCTTGGTCCTAAAACATGAACAACAACTAGGTATTCTTGTTAGGAACCTTCTCACCAACAAAAATAAAATAAAAAATGCTAAGTTTTATATGCTTGGTGCGAGCATTGAGAACAAGATCATAAGAGAAAGATAATGTGCTTAGGTTGTAAAAATAAATAACAAGTGGTGGATGTGAGAACTTGTAGCTCAGCGAGTGAGGACTAGATCTGTATAATTTCTGCTACATTAGTAGCTAGGCTTCTGTATTTAGCCTTAGTGGTGGAACGAGTTACCAAGACTGCTTCTTGAACCACTAAGAGATCATATTTGAACACAAATAGATGTAAGAACCTAAGGTGGACTTGCGATGATATCAGCATCACAAAAGACGTTAGGAGGAAAAGGTTCGCCAACTCTGGGCAGGTTGAAGAATAAAACCATAATCCAATGTACTCTCGAGATAGCACAAGATACCTTTTATCATTTTGGAACAGTGACTAAATTGCCACATTTTTTAAAAAAAAATTGTCTAAATGTCATGCGAACAATACTTTTTACCAGACTACTACGCGTCTAAGTTTGCTACCAGTCATAGCGAACTTAGCTTTTTTCTTGCAAAGTGTGCACGTGTCACGAAATCATAGGTGACGAAGTTCACTACGACTGGTAGCGAACTTGGTGCTCTAATGGAAACGTGCCATGTGGCCTAACCTAGTTCGCTATATCTGATAGCAAACTTGGACGCATGGCAGTCTGGTAAAAAGTACTGTTCGTGTGATATTTGAAAAAAAATTAGGAAAGTGTGGCATTTAGGTCACTGTTCCCATCATTTTCCAATGAGTGTCCAGCGGTTGAGACATAAGTTGAAACACTTTGTTGACCCTATGGCTGATCGCTGATATCTGGTCTAGTGATGGTTGCATATTACTATGCACAAACTATAGATCTATACATGTGATTATGTGAAGGTTAGGCTTGTAGTCACTCCTTTGCTTACTACAATCCCCAATGCTAGGAGTAGAAATCCCCTTAGCTTTGCTTATACGTGCCTTGGTTAGCAAACTCATATATTTGGCTTGAAAAAGGAGTACACCGCCATTGAAGAGGTGCATGAACTCCATACCAAGAAAATAATCCAAAATTGAGTTTGGTGATTAACTGTTTTACAAGTGCCATAGACCTTCCAATAACTATTATGTATTCTATATAAAATTAAAACTATTAGAGAATTCTAATATAAAACTATTGAAGTTTCCTTCACTTAACAATTTGAGCTTTTACTCAGATGGTTGTTTAATATAGTATCAGAGCCTGTGAATAAGTGGTCACGAATTCGATCCTCACTGCTCCATTCTTCTAATAAATATTTAATGCTGGAATTTCTTAGTACAGGTAGATGGACTTGTGCATTATCCACCATTCAAGCCTAATGGGTTCGTGTATGAGGGGATGTCTTAAAGAAGTCTACCATAAAACCATTAAAGTGGCATTCATTTAACAACTTGATGGATGAAGGAACAACTACCGACAACACTTGCTGGATTCAAAACCAGCAAGGTATTAGTCAACCTCTCAAATCAGGCACTTTCCTATATATCGCCTTCTGCGATTTACAAACTAGTCCATTGTTGGAATCTTTGAACCTTGAGAATTGTTGCACACCTCAAGAAATAGATGAATTATCACAGGTTTAACCACTTGCTGAGTACTTCAACCATTTGTAAGAGCTAGAATGAATTAGATGAATTGTCACAGGTTTAACCATGGAAAGAAGATCTTAATATAGTCAAATCTGGGATGTTGGTATAGCCCTTTAGCCATTAGATGGGCTTTATATTTGTTTATAGAGTCCATTGCGGTTCTCCCGGAAGACAAAAGAGCTAAAGACCAAGTCTGATAAGCCAAAAAGGCATCAAACTCTTCTTGCATGGCAACTTTCCATTGGGTGATCGCCAAAGCCTATTTAACACTAGTAGGTTCCATGTTAGTAAGCAACAAAGTAGGACATAGCTCAGGCTTGACAGTGCCAGATTTGGAATGGATCTGCATGGAATGAACATAGACATAGGGGTAGTGGAGGCAAGATAGAAGGAGAAGAAGAGGTAGGAGTAATAACAATAGATGTTGAAGAAGAGGAGTTCAAGGATGGGGAGGAATTTAGAAGGCAAGGAAGAGGTGGAGAGGCTGAAAGAAAAATAAGAATTATGTGGACCACGAGGAATAGAAGACAGAATCAGATGAGGCACCAGAATAGGGGATAGAGGAAAGGGTTAGGAAGAGAGGACAACTGGATTGCGCTGCGGATTAAACATGCGAAGAATAGGGAAATTGAAATTCATTAAACAATACAGCTTGCCATCTCGGAATAAGTATTTGTAACCCTTTTGAGCTGAGGTATAAGGTACATTCATGGGTACAAAATTTTAATTTGACATGGAACACAAAAAAGGATTGCATACACAAGCAAAGACCTTTAGAAAGCCATATTCAGGAGATTTATGAAATAAATGAACAAAAGGAATATCATTGTTGAGGGATGCAACATGTAAACCATTAAATAAGAAAGACTGGAGAAAGGCATGCCCAAAATTTTAATGGCAAGGAAGCTTAGGCCAACAAAGTTAAGCTAACTTCAACTATATGTCTATACTTCCCCTCTACAATGCCATTTTGGTGGTGTGTGAGGGCAAGATCCAAAGTCAATCCCAGTCTGTTCCGACAGATCTGATCTTTTTTCCTAATTGAAATTCAACCATGGTTTTGTACTATTGAAAAGCAGAAATAGCTTCAGATTTGGACTTTAAGACATAAATCCAATTGTAACAGTTAAAAGTATTAACAAAAGAAATGTAGTAGGAAAAACCAACAGGGGAAGCCATAGTGCCCCTACGTAATTAGTGGCCGAAGCAGTAGATGGAAGGCGGTGAGTTTTGCATATGCAGAAGGCAACGCAAAATTCAGAAGCACCTTTATAAGTAAATGCTATATTACATAGTTTGAAAACAGATTGAACTACAGTGGAATGTGGGTGTATGCTAGCCTACAATGCCATAGAATGTAGATGGTGGGAGTAAGTGCTGGTGTAATGGAAGTGAATGCTATAGGTGCAGTATTTGAAAAACTAGAAGCAGAAACACCAGATTTTCTAGCACCAGAGGCTGCCCAGGCAAGATTGGGAAAGGCAAAGAAATCATCAGACCCAAAGAAAGCCTTCCAGAAAAACTTCACGCATTCCCTGAGATTTGACAAAACAAATAGATGGATACAATTCAAAATATACTGAGTTGTCTTTGGCAAACTTACTGACATTGACCAGATATGCTTAGTGATAGAGGGAACTTGTAAAAGGTTTTTGAGAGATAAGTTAATGTGAGTGGATGAGGAAAAGGTAAAGGAACCAACTAAAAGTATTGGCAGAACTTGGTCATTTCCCGTTAGGATTTATCATAACCATCTAGATTAGTTCTTCACATGAGGTATTGCACATCAGCAATGACGTGATGAGTTGCTCTAGAATCAGCATACCAGCTCTGAATAGATGCAGTCGTGAGGGTAGTGAGATAGGCCACTGTAGGCTGATGAGGGCCCATTGAAATGAAAAACATAGATGGCTAAGATTGTCCACTTAGATCAGAAACTGAAACTAGAGGAGTAGGGTAATTAGTTAGATGCGTAGAACCATTGCGTGGAGCACAGGAAGAATGTGATACAGGAGGCTGAGGTGGTGGAGTCTGAAGGTGTGGCTGCCAAGTATATGGAGCAAGCAGCAGTGGTGAGTTAGGAGGCGTAACCTGAGGTGAAGGATAATTGTACGGCAATTAGTAGGGAGCAGGAGCATTGCCATAAGCATGATCAAACCAATAAAAGCAAATGAAAGTGTCATGTCGAGTCTTCTGACAGACTTGACATTCAATCATACTCCGGTAACCACCTAGACCACCACAGCCAGAATGACTAGCCACCCCCACGTCTAGGAAGATGAAACCCAAATGAAAGTTAGTGTCATATCAGAATTTTCTGTTGAAAAGGAGCTGTTGCATTTGGAGCAAGATGATGTGCAAAATGACTTGGGTTAGACGATATGAACCACCAGAGGGTTGCATTGGTGATGAAGAGGAGGAAGGATTTAAAGCATTGATTTTAGTATTTTACCTTATACTGCCTTTGAGTCATGTTGGCAAAAAACAATTGCAAGGTAGTGAACTGCTTATGCTTATCCACACGAGCCTCATGAGCTAACAAGAGTAACTCTATCTCGCCAACCATGTAAGGATCCAATTTGCTCTTGACAAAAGTCACAAATCCATCATAATCTTCTGGCAGACCATCCAGAATGACATCAAGATGCTCTTGCTGTGAAACCAGAGAAACGATGGAAATCAAGTAGTCAATGAGCGCCTTGATCCTCAAAAGGTACTCGGAGATGGATTTTCTATCTTTCTTCGTGTTCCTTAAACTTAGAACGAAATTGATATATGGAGGGTTAGTAACTGATAGTTCCAACTACATACATTACAGGGGATCTACCCTTTGCTCTGTGCAATTTCATATACATCTCATTATTCAAGTTGTTTTGGCATCTATTATTCTTCATACACATCTATGCTCCTACTCTTCCAAACATTTTCTTTTCATTTGAACAAAGGCAACCTGCAAGACAAAAAAAAGTATGACAAATTAGTTTCTTTTTAACAATTAGCCAACAGAAGAATAATAGATGCCTCTTCAGAACACTGATGTTTCTTTCTTTGTTTTAAAGATATAATGTAGTTCAAGACTTAAAAAATTTACGGATAACTAAATCTCATGGTGCATAAAGATTTGTTCACATCATTTGTCAAAACAGATTATCGAGCAAAACTTTGAAACAAATTGAAAGACTTAATTTGATAACATTTATGTTCATTGTGGTACTTGTCAACTACTTATTTGCTCCATGTATCTCTTTTACAATTATTATCTGTATGGTAAGATTTTTAACAGCCCCATGCCATTAAAATTGAATGTTAGAACTATGTCATAGTTGCAGAGTTAAATTAATTCTTTCACTTGCATGCTTATACAAAACCTAACGAGTCATGACTGTTATAAAGTAAAAACTAACCCCAAGTTGAGAGAATCATCGTGATTATCAGAGTCTTTAGCACGATTTGATGTGCTGCAAATCATGGTTGACTTAGATGACTGCCCTTGATCGTTTGCAAGACCTTGTATCTAAAACACATATATAATGATCTGATACCATAATAAAAAACAAAGAAAATAAAAAATAATACAAATTTTAAAAACCAGTAACCTGTTTCAGTCGTTGGTTCTCTTGCGCTATTTCGACTCCCTGCATGACGAATAATTTTGGACATTGTAAGAGTGCCGAGGGAGACGATGAGAGTGATTATAAATGAAACAATACGTTTTCTCTTGCGGTTGAATTATTATGTTACAAAATATGAATATTTTCTTCTTTTGCTAGAACAATGACATTTAATTTGGCGGTCTAATACTGGTATATGGAATTACCTTTTTCTTGAGCGCTTTGATATCATTTACAAGTCTTTCATCCTGAAATATACATACCGTTTGTTAAGAGCATTTACAGTAATTTCCACAAAGTGTGAATATGACTCCAATGAACAATGAGCATGTGCATGATATAAGGAAAGGGGTCAAGAACATATTTGTGGTATGATCATATATAGTGCCTGTTTGGATCCTCTTATTTTTAAGCTAGAAGCTACTTATAAGCATAAGCTAGGCCAAACAGGTTTTGGAAAAAGCTCTTATAACGAAAAGTTCTTTTTTTTATAATGAAGAAAAAGCTGAAAATTAAAAGCTCCTAGGAGGAGCTTTTTTTTAAGCTCTTATTTGTTTTTCTTGAATTGTGTGCTTTTTTTTAAATGAAGAGTGATAAAGATAGACAAAGAGATAATTTTCTTGAAATATGTGCTTTTAAGTAATTTTTAAACTAAATTTTTTTTGTAATTTCCAAACAGCTTTTAGCTTCTTTTTTTAAGCTCTTTATTTTAACTTTATCTTATAAGTAGCTTCTAGCTTAAAAATAAAAGGATCCAATAAGCATAGAAGGGTACAAAACAAACCTTTGCTTTTGAAACACGGGTCAAGCCTTTTCCTAGTAGTTTCTCTAGTTTCTGTAATTCTCGAATTTTTAATCCTTGCAGATCTTCCCCGTTCAGCTTCCTGTCAATCATGTTTCAGTAATATACAATATGGTAGGTTAACCCATCATATTCATAGGTACAAAGTACAAGTAGTGCAGCACACAGCTTATATGTACCTCAGTTCAAGAGTCCTATCTGCCACTTCCTTGCGCAGCACGAAGTAGTTGTTGGTGTCACTGTCAGGCTATACATATATTATCAGGAAATTTCCGCTCATCGTTTTTTAATCTATTGGTTAAGCAATGACAAGCATAATTCTCTTTATGTAATTAATATATGTTCTTATATTATATTACCACTTGAAGCAGATTTGATTTTCTTCTATATCCCTGGAGAAAAGATTTGATTGTATTTGTATATTGTAAAGATTCAGTGAGTGGGGAATACTAAGAAACACGTGTTTTCCTTCTGTAATTGCTAATGGAATTTTATTAGCATCTTATTATTATTGATCGATTCATAAGATCCTGTAGAGCTACATTTTTATAAATTTACATTCCAAAATGCTTCTCATTGTGCTAATATCTCTCTGAATAAGGGTCCGTTCAGACGTCATTAATTCTTCATTTGAGAAACTTGGAAAGAGGATCTTACCTGCAGCTCTTCAGATGAGTGTTGTAATCTTTCAGTGCTTGGATGCAGATTGTACCTTTCAACCACCTGCTCCACACTAAAAAAATAAAAAAAGCAGATTCATTTTTTGTTTTTGCCATCTATTTAACTTTAAACTCATGCAAGATGATCATATATGAACGCTTAGAATATATTTAGTACTTACATATATGTCTACTACACAATGGCAATGGATATATATATATTCCCACCTTTTTCATGTTTGAACAGCAATAAGATTTTTTTTACAGTTTTTGATTCATTGGAATTTTTAGTCTCCAAGAAAGGATATATTTAACTCCATTATAAGTAGGTGTATGGTTAGTATTTGGAGTACTAAAGAATTTATGTGGAAGTTCACAATCAATGTGATACAATAATGTTTTCCAAAGTATCCAGCAATCCAATGTTCATCATATTATCTTACATAGTCAACAATTCTCCGAAATAGAGTGTGTTCTGATAGGATATTGCAGGTGCCAAAACCCCATTTGAAGATGATCAATGCATTGATATTATGCCGCTATTATTCGGTTAATTTTGAGAATCAATTCATACAATTCTTAATGAAATCAATATAATTAAGTTGGGTGGAAGTGAAAAGTTGTTGCTTCTAAATGACAAAAATCAATTTTGTTTGTCATGAACCAATTTTCTGAACACTTTTTTTTTCTTTTCAATACAATGAGAACACTGAGGTTTGAATCCATGACCTCATACAAACTAACTCAACCTTTCACCACTAAACCAATTCTAATAGCTTATTTTCCAAACATTTTAAACTATTAAAGTGAAGGTATATAAGATGTTTTACTACATCTCTTTAACACCCTCCCCTGTTTTTTGGATTTTAGGAGGGTTCAAGAGGAAACAGGGAATGAGGATGCGAGGTATTGAACCCTACCACATATCCACCATAGGGAAGAAGATTGTCTGAATGAAGTTCAGAAAAGGAGAAAGGGCATAGCAAGAGGAAGCAACCAAAAAAAAAAAAAAAAGCACTCATGTTATAGAGCAGTGTTTTAAATCTTGGACTGGCTATCGACTCGGTCGAGGTATTGAGTTAATGGGTCAGTGATTCAACCAGTGGGTCATTGGTTTACCTGGTTAAACTAAATTTAATAATATTATATAATAAATATATTAAAATATGCATGATGACAAGGGACTCTAGTGTAGTGGTGGTAGGGGCTACAACTTCCATCAATCCCATATGGGTTCGAGTCCTTGATGCTGCAAAATTTATATAAACTTTGAAAATGCGGTTCAAGTGCAAAATCTGGTACCGGTTGAACCGTGGGTCATGATCGGTTCACCGAGTTGATATCGGTTCAATTGCATGACCGATTCAATGGCTAGTTCGAACCTATTACAATCTTATCTATCCGCCTCAAATCCGGATTAGTGACGCCAGTTGATGACTGTTTAGCTGATGTTAAAAACAAATCACAAGAATAATTTTTTTAAAAGAAAAAAAACAAGAAAAGGAAAAGGAATTTATGTAATATGGTCATTAGAATTTAGAACACTTAGTCTATCTGAAAGGCTTAATTTGAATATATCTATATAAGTTATAAATTAATGTTTTTGTTGGTATTCAATGAAGCTAACAGCTTAAGATTTTGGATTGAAAGGTGATATTGAGCTCACTTATCATGGTCAAGTCCCACTTACCTCATTTGATGGTAGCTCTCCCACTACCATGGACTTCCCTATTACCCAATAGTTTTAAACTAGATTCTTAGTCTCCAAGTTTATTATAAATTAAAGTATTTGGCAGAAAATAATTGAGAGATGTCCTTATTTTATCAGGCCATGAAGTATATTTGAGAGAAAGGATAATTGGCTGCTCTAAAGTGAGAAGGGTACTTTAGATAGAAAAGTGTAGAGATACAACGTTGCAACCGTTGATTGAACAATCAAGAGAGTATATTTTAATAACTTTAATGTTTTTTACACATACATCTATTTTATCATAATCTCAGCCAGTTAGAGGTTATATTTCTGCACTTATTCTCTAAAGTGCATCCTCCACTTTAGAAGAGCCAAATTTATAGAGAAAACAATATGGTGTAGTTATTATAATATTCACACTTTTTCTTCTATAGTGAATCCCCCACTTCAGAGGACCCACATTTACTGAGACAAAAATATGGTACAGTCACAACATATGATAAGTGAATTTAAAAAGTACAAAATATGTTGGAATTCTTTTTAATTTTTTTTACCCGTTAATCGATTTTTAATATTTAATAACTAAATTCATTTTAACTGTTGTTAAGAGATATTAGGTGTACTTATAAATAGACTTATTTTTTTAACTATATATATAATTAATTTTTTATTCATTATTTATTTTTTCTTAATCTATTTTCTTTTATGAGTTGATTAACCGCTACCTCAAATAATTTAAATAAAGATGATGTTAATCTTAATATAGGATAAAAGAAAGGACAAGGCTGCTACACCATGAAAATACAAGTCTAAAGAATATTGAGGTTTATATTAGAGTTTGACTACGGGTGTAAATGAGCTGAGTGGCTTGTCAGGGGCTCAAGGCTTAACTTGCTTTAAGCTTGATTTGGCCTGACTTATTTAATAAATAGAACAGACTCGAGTTTTAAAAAAAACTTGTTTAGCAAAAACCTCGAGCCTAGGCTTAAAAGCCTGTAAGCAGGCTTGATATATTATTATAATAAATAATATCTTTTTATGCCACTGAATCATTTACCTTTTTTTTCACTATTGTCTACTAGCATTCTCTCACGATCACAGTTTCATAAACAAGTTCTCTGACTATTAATTTCTTATTTCCTCCATCAGTCACTCACATTTTCACGGCTTTACACCAACCTTCTACTTAGTGCAACTCTGGTAACCAATAACCATCTTCTAATGGGATAATTGAATGTATTGAAAATGTTATTTTTTTGTTCTAACTAGATAACATGAAAGATGTAATTATATGTGGAATGAACGAGTTCTATGATTTTTTTTTCTCTTACAAAGGAATACAAAATTTAATGCATTTATAGTCTCAACTTTTGGACCTACTTGAGTTTGGAAAAGATACATTTTATAATTATAAATGAGTCAAACCAAGTTCAAGTCAAGCCTTTAATTTTTTATAAACAAGCCAAGTCAAGCTTAGAATTTAGCTCGTACTAGGCTAATGAGCCAAGTTAAGCTCAAAATATTTTTCATAGACTTGCCTCGTTTAAACTAAAATTTGGCTCGGCTCGACTCATTAACGTCTCAAAGTGTGAGTGTCCCCTCTAACATCTCCTTCAAAATATTGGTACGGAGTATGGGCAATATCTTTTATTCCCCCCTTCAATAACAATTGGTTTGGGAAGCAAATTTGATCGGTTAAAAATCCTTTAAATTAGGTGATTGAGAGACTTTTGAACAAGATATCATGTACTTGTTCACCATATAGGATGTGCTGAATTAAACTTGAAGACTAGCTAGATCTATGATCTGTTACAAATTTCATTTCAATTTCTAAATGTTTTGTTATGTTATACGGAATAGAAGTTTGAGAGACAAGTATAAGAAAAGTCATCAAAATGAATCATAAGCTGATAACCAACGAAGACGAAGGAAGTAGAAGCTCACCAAGTGAGCCACACATGTGACCGACATGGCTCTTTCATATAGAAAGCTTATGCACCCAGGAAATACGATTAAGTTCGCGGAATATATAACAATAGCCAATTGTTGATCTTCAAGTAAAAGGAGAAACGTACAGCCCCAATAGGAGCCACTACAACCAATTGAGGGAGAGACTTGGTGGATTGCGAATGTAAGGTTGAGCATGCCGTAAACTGAACTGGCTCAAGATAACTGGTAAGTTCATGTGACCTAAAAAGCTAGCCTGAGTTGTCTAAGTAGTCGGTGCTAGGGGATTGTATACATTCATCTAATCCATAATAAATCCAAAGTGGTACTGAGGTATCACAACCATGGCTTACTGCTCAAGATCTTCACCGGATATCTTCAATAACATGACGAACAAAATAAACAGAGCAGTGAACTTCTATTATTATGCGTGAATTACATAAAAGTACAATAAAGAGGAATTATAAAAATATAAGATTAATATTGAAGCCTAGAATCTAATTTACAGCAAACAACAAAATTGAATTGCAAAATAATGATATGGATAGTGGATACAACCAAGAGAAAAGGATAGAATTATTTTAAATAACGAACTGGCTGCAATGTTTTATTCTAATTTGCTACTCTTACCAAGATTTATTACATAGCAAGTTATTATATAGATCTTATCTAAAACTATCCCCAAACATTAAGAACCCCTAACCACATCAAGATAACACAATCTATTCCTACTCAAATTAGAAGAACTAACTCAACTTCATCTAACTAAATTCTTCAAAATATTGTTATAAAGAATTATTTCAACTCAAAAACGTAAATTAACAAGTAATAAACGGTTCTACCTTAAGCTGATTTAATTCTCCAAGAAAGTAGGGCGGTGAACTCGTGACCTCATGATCACCTTGACTCCAATACCATGATGAAAAATTATTTAACCCAAATACTTAAATTAGATTTCAATGATTTTATATTATATCTCTCTAAAACTAGTACACCGATAAATACTTATCAATTTGTATCAATACTTTCTCCAAACTTTTCATGTCCTCAAGGTCAACCCCAATGCTTTCTATCAACATAAGTTGAGGCTTCTTGCATTTGTGCCCAAAAGTGTCTCATAACAATTATAACAAAAGAACTTTGTCATTCTTCCATTGTTTTTGTTCCCACGTTAGCTTTTTATCGTTAGTTGACGGGTTCATGGGCTTATGGATAAGGTGGTCCCATAGAAGACATCATCATGTGCTTTCTGTTCAATACAGCTAAACACTTATCCTACCATCGGACTAATTAGATGGTGTCATACTTAGTGGAGCCAAACTGTGCTAATTTCTCTTCATCAAAGATTTTCCAACAGAGATCCACACCTTCATCTTGATAAGTTTGTTGTAACCGCTGTAGCCATTGGCTGGCTTCACTTTCAAGGTAATAAAAGGTTATAAGTATCTTTTAGCTGGAATTTAGGTGTGAGAGATGATGTTTCATATTAGTTACAAATATATTTATATTTGTAAAAAATCAATTCAACCAAAAAGCTTAAATTGTTAGCTGAAATTATATTAATGATTTTTATATTTCTCTAACACGCTCCCCTCACACGAGAGCCCACTGAGCTTGAAGGATAACAATGTACAGTCCTACCTACCTGTGCTAAGAAACTCCACAAGATTTAAGTAATTATTAAATAAATGGGAGGCGGTGAGAATCGAACCTGTGACTTCGAGGCTCTGACACCATATAAAAAATCAATTCAACACAAAAGCTTAATCTGTTAGGTGAGGTTACATTAATGGTTTTTATACTTTAATAGTATTAATTGAGGATTATATAATTGAATTTATTATTGTAAGATTTTAGATTGTGATGTGGTGCTGAGTTTATTTATTGTGGTTGAGTTTGTCACTTAATCCATTGATGGAAGTCTCTCCCATTACTGCCTAACATCAGCATACGAGAAATAATCCACGAACTCATTACTTTAAGATTTTGGGTTAAGATCATTACGTCAAGTTTATGAATCATTTTTGGCGCACTCTTTTGAGACAAATGGGAACCAAGTTGTAGTGTAGCTGATCTCACTATCCCTAGACATATGGGCAGAGCATAGACATATGGGCAGAGCAAAGTCGTCAAAAAAACTTGGGGGAACTCGTTGCTATATTTGACTAAGACAGTCCACAACAATGGGATTTGGTGTTACCTCTGGCAAAATTTTCCTATAACATCATATGATTGAATTACAGGCAAGAGTCATTTCAAGATGATCTATGGACGAAATCTAATTACTCTTCTACACCTCATACCATTTCTAGTTCACTAGTAGTTCAATTTAGATGCAGATGAACACGTCAAACACATCAAAAAGTTGCATTCACAAGTTTATAACCAAATCAACAAGCAGATTATGGAATATAAATAATGGGCGGACAAGCACACAAAAAAAAATTCTCTTCAAAGAGGATCATTTGCTGTGGATTCATGTCAAGTAAAGTATTTTTTTCAGTTGGCTAGACCCAACGAACCGTTCAAAACTCCTGGGCGAATTAATGACAATGCTTATAAGATTGAGTTTTCTGTCAAGTACAATGTCTTCAAGACTTTTAATGTATTTGTCACCTTACCATCCACACGAAGAGGAACGCGCCGGGGGGGGGGGGGGGGGGTGTGTTTGGGGGTAGACAGTGAAGATTGAATAAATTTGAGGGCGGATTTTTTTCTAATAAAAAAAATAATACACATAGAATTTGTTGAGAATCGTGCGTGTGTGCATGGTGCTTTTGCATTTTGTCAGAGAATAATATAAATTATTGATATATTTCAAAGTCCTTTATATGGGTTTTATGAATTTTTGTGTATAGCATTGACATTTCCATAATTTTGTACTTTTGTTTTAATTTTGTTTTTATATTAATTAATGCCATATACAATGATGTTTAAGATTCCTATAGAGACTTGTTGAATATTTTTAATTTTAATAATCATAATAGAAAATATACAAAAAAAAATTCAATTTCAAATTTTTATTTAACCCAAATTTTATGTGTTTTGAATTTACTCGCCTTCAAGTTTTTCAATTTTCTCTTTGTGCCAAATGATACAATCAAGAGAAAATGATTGAATTATTTAAATCAAAATATTAACTATAATATATTCTTTTTACCTTCTTATTTGTACAAGACTTTACTATGTAGCGACAAAAGTTTTAGATATAAGACCCCGTAACATTAAGATAACTCAATCTTAGAACATGTTTGATATCTCTTTTTTTAAGCTAAAATTACTTTTAAGTTAAAATAAAAAAATAAAGCTAAAAACTATTTGGTGATTATATAAAATTGTTATGATAATTTTGAAGTAGAAAAGATAAAATAATTTATTATTAGAATGAATTATTAGGGTAAATGATAAAATTTATAAATATAAGTTCAAAATAAGGTTTCAATTTTCTCATAGTAGGAGAAAATTTTTTCATATTATAGATTATCTTGTGTGGGGTCCACATCTATTAAAAATATAAAATAAAAGAAAATGTTGCACAAAAATCGAAGAGTCACTAGTAGGAGAAAACAATTCTCCTACAACATGAGAAAATATTTTCCCTTTAAAATAAGGGTAAAACTGTAAAATAAACTAGAAGTCAAAAAAAAGGACATATATCTTAAAATAAAAACTCCTCTCGAGAGATTTTAGCTTTTAGCTTTTTCTTCATTACGAAAAAATGCTCATTTTATAATAAAATCTTTTATAAAAACCTGTTTGGCCTAACTTCAGAGAATTTTTAAAAAAAAATCCCTCCAAACATGCAATTATACAATTTTGAAGATATTTTAAATTAATCAATCGTTATTCATTCGTGTCAGTGCTCATACAAAGATGCACATTATAAGATCCAATCTTATACAATGTTTCATAATAAAATGAGTGTCCATTTGAAGTTATATTGAAATGAGTGTCCATTGTCAATTCTCTATAAATAAACGCTACAAACATGTTAGGATGTTAACAATTAGAGCCTTTTTCTTTTAAAGAAAAAATTATCTGTGTTTCATAATGGTGTAAGCTATAAACATATATAACTATGTTAGGATGTTTACATGGAGAAAATATATGGAATTTTTAAGTATTAGGCTGTTTCATCTCGGGCTCGTTGTATTCATTTGCACACATCAGAACAGTCTCTTTGCTTAAGCATAGTGCCACTCTTTAGAGTTTTGAGTTACTGCAGCCCCCAAAAATTAACAATAAACATATTGCTAAGTTATTCCTCTTATTTCTTTGTGGAATAATATGTAATAAAAATATTATGATATTATGAATTGTTTCGGGAGAGAGACTTTGTTAGAACACTATGATTAACAACAGTAAATGTTAGTCTTAATGAATCATGACTTATTTAGAAGCATGGAGTCTGATATTATCATTATATTTTCAAGCTAGAAATCTAAGATGACATGGGTGAGAGAACCCCCTCAAGTAAGGAGTCCATTGTAATTCTGTCTAAGTATACTCACACTTCAACATGCATATTACTTTTAACAAAGTATTAGTGATTTGCTTCATATATATATATGAAGTGTGAGTGCATATATATATATATATATATATATATTAATTGATTTGGGTATAACTAAGGATTTGTGGGGGTTTTCAACCTTACCGTTTTGAATTAAGCCCAATTTTTATGCTATGTTAAGTCCCGCTTATTATATTCATTATTATTTGCTCACTGAGTTGAAAACTCACCCAAATTTTGGTTATATGTTTTTAAGTAGAGGCAGAGATATATCTTCTAATTCCACTCAGTTGATTTGACCAAAGGAGTCTGACTCTGTTATCATTCGTGAGCCTGACATATTGTTTGTGTGGGAAAAAGTTGAATTATCGTTTGGATATTATAGACTTTGTTTGAAAACATGAAATATCATTATTCTAAGAGTTACTTCATTATCTATGTAGCTAGATTAAATTTATTAATGTGTTAGATAAATGCATGATTCAGTTAATTTAACCTGTGCACATTGAGTTGTTAGATAGATGCATGACTTCGTTTGAGGTCATTGAGAGAGGGGAACAAAACTGAACTCAGCATGCATCCTTATAAATGTGACATCTTTTACAGTTTCACATAAAATAATTATATGAAAGTGCAACCCTCAATCATGAAGACTTTTGGTTTGTGCTTAATAAACCTAGGAGGAAATCAAGTTGTACGTTAATCAGTTCCAAACATATACCTATCATTTCACTAGGGTCAAAATGTTATTTCTTTCTTTGTTAATAATATCATTAATACTATTATTTTCTTAAAGATTTTGCACTGTAATGTGGATTTTACTAATAGTAATCATCATGCAGACACGCACTATAAGTGAAAAGTGAAAACATGAACAAGGCATTGACAACCCCTACACTAAAGAAGATTAATCTTCGCACATTAATATATGTGAATATATCAAGAAGAAAGATGACATATCTATATAAGAAAAAGAAGGTAGAAAAACCTTGAGCTAGCGAATTCGAAGAGCTTGCTCGAAGCAGAAAAGACTATGAGAGCTATCTCAGCATCACAAAGAGTTGAAAGCTCCCGAGCCTTCTTGAAAAGCCCTCTCTTCCTCTTAGAAAAAGTCACCTGCCTAGCTGCAATGTTGTCAATCTTCTTTATTTCTATCTTCGGCTTTGTCATTTTTTCTGAACAAAAATTAGCCAAAATTAAAAAGTGTTTCTTCACTCAAGAACAAGGAGAAAATCATATGCAGTCATATTTATTTATATATCTGGATAGAACTATGGATTTCTTATGAAAGACAGAATAATGCTAAAGTATTATCCATAGAATAACAAAAATAAAGTCTCAGATTAAACTAGTATCACAGAAAACTTTAATATGTATATATATATATATATATATATATATATATATATATATATACGTTTTCCTTTTCTGGTCATGTAAAATAGTGATAAACCTTGAAGATGAAAGATGGTTTTCCAAAAATCAGAACACCAAGTGCAGAACTACAGTATATGAAAGGCAGTGATATATATGCAATTATGCATGACCTAGAAGGAAACGAGAATATTTGAGGCGCATAATAAATACTAGTCGATTTCAAATTACAGAGAGAAAATAATAATAATAATAATATCAGAAAGAATAAGAGATAAGACGGTTGTTATCAAGAATATGCAAAAAAAAAAAAATTAAATAAATAAATAAAAATAAAGGAGCTTAGCTTCCCCTAACGAGAATCTTCTGGTATAGTAACTTTACTTGGAAAGAAACCAGCAATAACAAAGAGAATTGAAACCTTTACAAAAAATAAATAATAATCATCCATTCATATGCAAGGAGCAAATGAGGGTAATTGCGAGAGACAAAGACTGATGGGCATTTCGTAATAAATTTCAGATTCCTCTTTCGGCCAAGTTGGTATCATTGGGAGAAGACGATTGGTTAGGTTTTTCGTAAATTTCAGCTTCCGCTTTCAACCCTCCTTCCTGTACTTATCTGTAGGTTTTTTTTTCCCCTTTTGTTAAGTCTGTGTTTGATGTTGCACTCACTCATGAAAATATCAGTGCCGCACAATCCACCACGACCTCTCCTCTTTTCTTTTTAGGCTTTCTAATTTCATGACTCATTTACCCTTGAATTATTATCATGTAATTAAAAAAAAACCTATAATAATTAATGTGTTTTGGCGTTAAGTTGAGGTAAATTTGGGTAAAAAAAAGGTGTTAAAGGTTATCTGTACTGTATGCATAAAAAATTAGATTAAAAAAAAAATGATGTCAGCGTTTCCCAAGTAATATAAAGAAGAAATTATTATTTGTAATATGAGAGAGTTTATTAATAAATATATGCTGCGTTAAAGTCGAACCGAGTTAGTGGGTTCCACTTTTCAATGAAATAATGGAGAAATTCTAAGAGGAGTTAGCTTTCTCGTGGGCGATGTCAGTTTTGGTCTGCGTATATGCATGCTCTGTTATTGTTATGTGCAACTATGGATCGTAGCCCATAGATTGTGCATCGTGTTGGACCGTGGCTTGGTTTGTTTCCTAATGGAGAAAATCCTAGAATCAGATCGAGAAGAAGCACTCAACGGGGATGTTCATCCGCCAGATACTATGTGTAGACTTTACAATATTTGAACGTGAAAAAAAAAAAAAAGGATTTGGTCGGTTTCCTGCTACCTCGTATGAATTATTATGACTGTCTTGTTGACGATTTACCTAAAATAAAGTTTGCATGTCTTCTTCCTCGATGACTTTGATTCATGGAACCCAGTTCTTTAGGATCCAAATCTTGTTAGTTTGAACTTGGGATCGATTGATTGTTTGAAACCCGCAGTGATGGATCGGTTGTTAAATAAAGGTTGAAATTTAGTAGCTATCGGTTGAGGTTAAATATGGAAAACTACCTTTAGTTACTACTGTAAGCCTATTTGGTACTTCTTCTTCTTTTTAAGTTAAAAGCTACTTTTAAGATAAAGTTAAAAAAAAAAAAACTTAAAAAAAGACGAGAGTTATATTTACAAAAATTTTGTTTACAAACTAAACTAGAGAATACATGCTAAAGCATTTGTATATATTCTCCACGATATATAGTTTAATTTGTAAGAATATATAAACAAAAAATTTGTCAGTATAATATTTTCCTAAAAATAAAGCTAAAATCTGTTTAATTATTATACAAAAAATTTAGCTTAAAAACTCAAATTAAAAATAAGCTGATACAACTTAAAAAAAAGCTCTTTATACGAGCTTTTAACTTTTGACTTTTTTCTTCGTTATAAAAAAATAGCTCTTTTTATCGTAAGAGCTTTTAGAAAAACCTATTTAGCCTAAATTCTACTTATAAGAGAAAAGAAGCTAAAAAAAGACATTCCAAAGAGACACTGTATATGTGTATGTATTTGTTGACATGAGAATAACTGTGAACTTCTTCTAAATGTGAACATTGAGTTGGTTAAACTGCAGAAGTATATGGATCTCGGCCAAGTGAAGAAATCCACTGGGAAGCAAATTTTGATGTTGGAAGTAAAAATAGAAACCCAAATATTCTACAAGCAGTTCTTGGTTCTGGGAGCTTAAGCCAATGCCTCACTCTATACTGCGACCAAGTTGTTGATGTGCCTAGCCTCTTATATAATTACCTTATCAACTGAGCCAGACAGACAACATAAACGCGCAATGGTCAGACAAGCGGTTGCTCAATGGTCAGACCAATAATTTAATGACTATGCTATTTTTCATGAAATTAGATTTCTAATTCTTTAATTTGTTTCATGGATCGACGGTTCACAAAAAAGCTTAAGAAAATTTAAAATTTCAAAAATGGATTTGATGCAGGGGAGAAAGATGACGTTCTAGAGATGTAAATGGATGAAAAATAGCCATGAACAATTATTTACATATTTCTTATAGCATAAGTCATTTTCTTGAAGGAAGAAAGTCTGAATACGAGATTACACAGTTAAACAATATGACAAGTTATTATTCAAAAAAAGCATGCCAACTATTCAAGAAAGAAAACATAAACAATAAGCTAGTAAGGAAATGTAACAGTTAAGATATATCGTATGTCTAAGCAATGAGAGAACATGCAGAAAAATTTATAGAACTAGTTAAGAAATATCACAAAAAAAGTTACTTATTATGAATGGACTATGGTTTAATCATCCAAAGAAAATTTCGCATATTACTGTATATGCGTAGGTTGTATTATGTTTCTAGTTTGTAATGGCTCCACTCACAAGCTTTTTGCAAGCAGACAACTATAATTTAACTGTATTGATTAGTTTATAACAAAAAATTTATAAGAATAGCCATATATAATTAGTTTCCACTCTTGCAAGAATAATGACGATATTGACTTTATAATACATTTGCCATTCTTTCATGCTACATGTATATGCCATTGTTAACAAACTCAATAATTGCCACAAAGCGTAAAGAGAGGTACAAACCTTTGCTTTTAAAACACTGGTCAAACTTTTTCCCAGTGCTTCTCCCTCTAGTTTCATCAATTCCTGAAATTTCAGTCCTCATAGCTCTTTGCATTCAACTACCTGTGGTAAAGTAATTAACAATTTTTCAGTAATATACAACATAAATATGAAGTAATATACGATATGGTTGGTTGATGCATTGTAGTATGGGGGTTTGAGCACAGGCAGTGCAACATGCACCTCAGTTCACGAGTCTTATCTTCTACTTCTATGCGCATCTTGTTGTAGGTGTCACAATTAGATATACATAAATTTCCATGAAATTGTCATTCACGGTTTTAAAATTTTCTCGTTAAGCAATCCCAAGGATAATTCTATTTATGTGACTAACATTTTTGTAAATCATGTTAGCACCTGAAGCAGATTTTGATCTTCTTTTATACTCAAAGAAGTGTACTTTATTGTTTTTGAATAGTTTAAAGATATAGTGAGTGATGAGTATTGAGTAGTAAGAAACAAGTATTTTTCCTTTAGTTATTTCCAATGGAATTTTATTAGCACCGGATTATTGGTTATTCATAATGAACTGCAAATGCTTTCTTTTGAAAAATCACAAATAGTTCGTACCTTTAGCTCTATAGATGGATGATACAATCTGTCAATGCCTGGATGCAGATTGTTGTCCCTTTCAACTAGCTGCTGCATACATAAAACAGTAAAAATGGTGCAGGCTCAATTTTTGTTTCACCTATCTATTTTCCATTTAATTAATGTAATATGTTGAAGTTATAAGAATTTAGGCAGAGAAGAAAGAAGAGAGAGAATAAATAACATGAAATTGGCATAAATTTGATGAGTTATAAACTGATACTATATAAAACACTAGTCTCTGTCGATAGTAATATTTAGATTTTAAATTCTAATCATAAGAAAATAAAATAAAAAAATAATTTCTATGAAATCATCTAAATTAGTCTCAAATACAATAGAGATATTATGAATTATTATTTATTTATCCTAACATAATATATTAGTGCAGAAATTTTGATATTTTTTTTTAAATTTTGCTGAATAAATTAAACGGGGGAAAAAGCAGAAAAACTAGCCATGCAACAAAGGAAAGAACCGGAAGTACGTACCTTATAGAAGACATGCAAGCCCATGCTCAAGCAGTGCCGATAGCAAGCCATGTGTCAGCAGCATTGTGATTAGCATCACTGACGATATGAACAGTAGAGAAAAAGGATATCGAACTTATGGATAATATCTCTCCACTGCACAGGAAGTGGCAAGATGATTGGAGGTCCACCTATCCCTTTCAAAGAATGCTTGCCACTTTTGAGTGAGTCTCAAACTCTCAATTACAAGATGACAGATATTCAAAACGATAGCCCAGACTTCAGCCTCAGTACTGATTGAGCAACTACCAAGGTTGCACTGACACATGAAAGATAAGATAAAGCCAGCCTCTCAATTCGTTTCTAATTACTCACCCACATGCAGCTTTTGTGGCTTGGCAAATAACAGAACCACGCGTTTCTCATCTACCAATCACCTAAGAATTATAGATACATCCCTTTACGAGACTTGATCATGGAGATGATCTAATATGTCTGTCCTTCAATATATATAGCCTGCAAGTGTAAAAGGTTATATTTCTCTTTGAAAATTAGTAATAAAAAAATATTTGATACTAAATACATATCACCTTCTTTGGTTTGATAAATAGTAATAA